AGAACGATATGTGAGCTCCCTTTGAGCCGCAATCAAAACCTTAAGAGACATTGGAAGCCATGCACACCCCGTACATAGCGAAGCAGACAGGCAGGCAGGCAAGACACGAACTAGACAAGACCTCACAGCCACAAGACATTGTATCAATACTTTCATTCCCACCCACGCACCCGCGCATCTACATATACAACGGTATAATCTCCATCCACACACATAACCTCAAGGGTCCATAGCGGGAGAAAAAAGTTCGAGGCAGTGACCGTAAATCTACTAGAGTGCCAAAGGGGTGTGTCCGAAGCGGGCGTGCGCCCTCCGGCAGGATAGATAGCATACAAGCTTCCATTTTTTGCCCTTTTTCCCGATCAAACGCCTGCATCGCGCTCAATCTTCCCATTCGGGGTTCTATGGAGGAGGAGGTCAGCATGTACTTTGACATATTTACGGGAGAGACTGTTAAGGGGGACATACCTTTCTCAGGATCACGACACCTTCAAGCACGTTTGTCAGGCTAATGTACTTCTCGTCCTCCAACTCTGCTCTCTCGCCATGCGCCAGTAAGACTGGCGTGCTCTGTGTCTGCCAGCCTGTGATTGTCTTGGGTCGACCAGCCTGTCCTACAACGTCTACTGCCTGACCAACACGCACGTTGAGTGTGAGTGGCTTGAGATCCTCGTCCAGGGTGATGAGGAAGCGGGGTGCCATGGCCGTAGCCATGAAGTAGAGGAGGTAATGTGAGTCGCCAACGATGAACGACTTGGCATCGATCATGGAGATGATCACCGTGAGAAGACCCGAGGCCGCGACACGGGACAGAACTTGACGCTCGGTGTGGAAGGGGTTGGCGGAGAGAGTGCCCTTGCCCATGTGCAAGAGACCTTGAGCTATGCGCACCATGAACAGAGCATTGGGGTCGCGGTGGTAGTAGCTTGCTAATTGACGGAGGAGTTGTGCAAGACGGGCGTTGTTGGTACCAGCACCACAGAGACCCATGGCGAAGATGGCGTTGATGGCAACGTCGTTATCGTTGTCGTGAGAGTATCGTGATAGCGTGTCGTAGACCTTCATCTGGGGGTTGCTAGGGCTGATGAGACCCAAAGCGAGGGGCACGGCTTTCCGGATGTTGGCCTCTCCGTAGTGCATCAGGTGGCCGAGGGTGCGGAGAATCATCTCCTGGCCAACGTCCTCACCCATCGCAACCAACGACAGACCAATAACAGCGTATGACTGAAGCAGCTCGTCGCCCTTCTTCTCTTCGCTGTCGTCTTCGATGTGCTCGTTGCAGATGTGCAGCAGTTGCTGGATCTTCAGTACAGCACCAGTACCTGCCCATGCGCACACTTCTGTGAGCACCGAGGCAGACTTGGCCATGGGGTGGTCGAGCGCCTTTAGAGTCTCGAGAATGACATCGACCTCCTCTTGCTGACCGAAGAAAAGCAGGGCGAGACCAAGAGACATGAAGCGAGTCCACTTGTCCTTGAGCTGCTTCGTCCTGTCCTCGTCCAGAAGGGTGTTCATCAGCGCATCCGTAACCTCGCCATTGGCAGAACCCACGAAAATCAGACCAAGCGACAGTGCTGCCATAGCAGACAACTGCATGTCGAGACTTGTGTCACTGACGATGGGCAGAAGCATCTCCAAAAGCTCCTCCTTGTTCGAGCCAGCATATGCCAGACCGAGACCCATGATGGAAGCCAGTCGGATATTGCGGTTCTTGTGCGAAAGGTTGTCCTCGTCACCGAGCAGAGCCAATGCGGGATCAGAGTCCATCCTGACACCAGAGTTGAAGATACCCGTGGCAAGCATGGCACCGGCCTTGACCATATCATCGTCGACGTTGGTGTACGGATCGATCTTGTCGAGACCGGTTTCGACATCCCATAGCAGAAGCATACCCATCGACGCCGTTGTCGACAGCATGCCCTCCTCCTTGGTCTTCCAGACCCAGCTGCTCTTGCTGTCCGAGTTGAGCATGAGCTTGTCGTTTCCGTAACCAGTGTTGACAAATGCGTTGACAAAGGCTGAAGCGAGGTTGTGCCTGGCAGAGTCGGTGTTGGTGAGTCCTGACGTCCTGCTGCTCTCGAGATGTGTCTTGTAGATGTCGTCGGGGGTCTTGGGGTCGAGGATGTTCAGCTCCTTGCCCAGAGCCTTGAAGTGGTCTGGCAACCGGGTGTTGTTCAGACACTCTTGGAGCTCCGGGTCATCATCGTCCGACACGTCGAACCATATCCGCTGGCGGGCGATGAGGAAGGCCATCTGTCTCCTTATCGCCTTGTCCTTGGTGGAGTTGAAGGTAGCCTCGATCAGCTCGCGGTCGTTCAGCCGTATGGCCAGAGCGACTGCTTGTGTGTATTGGTTGTATTTGCGGTAGATCTGGTACGTTGTGCGCAGGAACTTGTCGTTGTCTGGGTATGTGAGAAGCGGTACGTTGCTGGGAGTGTCAGCTGCAGCCTTGTTCAAAATCGCCCCAGACTGCCCTACCTGACCATGTACAAGCACACGCGCGCGTATGTGTTCTCGTCAATGTACTGCTCGATCTGGTCGATCATCTCCAACTCTGACAAGATGTCTACGGCGTCAGCATCCGCATTGTGCTTCAGGAAGAAGGGAACGAGGTTCGAGGCGAGGTCGGTGATGTCCTCGGTCGCCTTGTCGTCGCTCAGCCTGTTCTGGTACTCTCTGCCAATCTCCAGCGACAGGTGGCGCATGTACTCGTGGCCCCACGACCCCAGATCTGTCGACGGGGCCTGCAAGCGGTACTTGAGGCAGTCGAGACGCTCCTCGTCCGAATACGTCATGCCGAGGACGGATAACATGTCGGCGAAGGATTGCTGTTCCCATCAGTATTGCTGGCTGCACCCCACCACGAAGCTGCTGCGCACCTTGTTCTCGCCCTCTGGCCATGACGCATACGCCGTCTCGAGGCTCTGGTAGTGTGGGCGCAGGAACTTGAGCGGCTTGGGCACGGCCGTCATGGAGCTCGTCGACGTCTTGATGAAGTCCTTGATCTGCTCGAGCGCGGGCTTGTACAGGCTGGTGTCGGATTCCTGGGAGAAGGGCACGGTCAGCGCACGCGGCGGGGAGGCGGGTGGTCCAAGCCTACCAGTATCCGCTCCACCAGCATGTCGAGCTCATTCTTGAGCTGCTGGTCTTCTTCGTTGAGCTCCTCTGTCGTCTGCCTTTAGCGCACGTCCAAGTGACAGGATGGGGGCGTGGCAGGTCCACGCCGGAGACATACCGCCTGAGCTGGTGGCAGCGCCCTTCTTGTCCTCGACCTTTGCGTCCTTGTCCTTGTCCGCATCGCCGGCGACAGCCTTGCCCTTGCCCTTCTCGGCGGCCGTGGGCTTCTTCTCGTCGTCCTTCGCCATGTCGACTGCGGAGTGGTAGCTTGAGCAGGCGGCGAAGTGTGTATCCCGGTGCGGGGAGGGTGCGGCGTCGATGAGCTGCGTCGAGATGGCGTGATGAGGGGGGAACGCGTAAACAGTCAGGCCGGGGGGTGGGCCGGGGGGAGGAGGAATGTGTTGAGTGGTGACGGGGCGATTGTTGTCGTGAGGTAGCTCTGCTTCACGTCGCGAGCAGCGGAGCACGCTTAGTCATGGGCGGCGACCCTCACTTCTCGAAACCTCCAAAAAAAAATGTCCCGCACCTGCGATTCCCTGCGCCCTCACCACCCCCAGACCCCAGCACGTGCAAAACACCGCCAACATGAAGCTGAACGTCAAGAACATCCGCTATGTCACGCCCGACGACTGGCGCGTCCTCACTGCCGTATGCGCACTCCACTCGTCTGTTCGTAGTGGGGGACTAACGGCTGATGAAGAAAATGACAGACAGAAATGGGCAGTCGCAACCATGAAGTCGTGCCCACGTCCCTGATCTCCCAGATCGCCGGCCTGCGCTCAGGCACCGGCGCCAGCAAGAGCATCTCCAACCTCGCCAAGATCGGCCTCATCGCCAAGGTCAAGAATGCGAAATATGACGGCTACCGCCTCACCTACGGCGGCCTGGACTACCTCGCCCTGCACACACACACCAAGGCCTCGACTGTCTTCTCCGTCGGCAACCAGATCGGCGTGGGCAAGGAGTCGGACATCTTCGTTTGCGCGTCAGAGACAGGCCGGCAGCTGGTCCTGAAGATCCACCGTCTGGGCCGTATATCCTTCCGCACCGTCAAGGCGAACCGCGACTACCTGCGCAACCGCAACTCCGGGTCGTGGATGTACATGTCCCGTCTGGCGGCGCTCAAAGAATACGAGTTCATGAAGGGTCTGCGGAAAGAAGGCTTCCCCGTCCCCGAGCCCATCGGCCAGAACAGACACACCGTCATCATGGGCCTGATCGACGCCTTCCCCCTGCGCCAGATCTCAAAGGTCGGCGACCCCGCCGCACTCTACGCCGAGCTACTGTCTTTCATCGTCCGCCTCGCCCAATACGGTCTCATCCACGGCGACTTCAACGAGTTCAACATCCTGGTCGAGGAGAAATACGATGCTGACGACAAGGTCACGCTGATACCCACCATTATCGACTTTCCCCAGATGGTGTCCATCGACCACGCCAATGCAGAGTACTACTTCGACCGCGACGTAGCTTGCATCAAGCGCTTCTTTGACCGCCGCTTCGGCTTCACCAGCGACGAGCCGGGCCCCTTCTTCAAAGACTCCACAAAGAAGCTCGTGAAGCGACTGGACGTCGAGGTCGAAGCTTCAGGTTTTAGTCGGAAGATGGCCAAGGAGCTCGACATGTACATGAAGGAGCACGGCGTCGACGGCGACGCAGGGGAGATCCAAGGTGACGACGAGGAAGCTGACGATGACGACGACGACGACGATGATGATGAGGTTGAAGACGTAGATGAAGACGCCAACGAGGAAGGAGGCGTTTCCCTCGAAGACCCATCAGCACCCAACACACAACTCGACTCCGCTGAACCCCAAACGTCACCCTCGACCCTCGCCTCCCAAATGACCATCCTCGACATCCGCGACAACGACCCCCTCCCCTCCCTCAGCGAATGCAAACCCACCCCTCAACCCACAATATCCACAAAAGCTGCAAAAAAGAAGGCTGGTTGGGCCATCTGAACCATGTCCTCTCTGTCTATCCATTCGTCTTCTTTTTCTACTCTTCCTTCTTTCAGCGATACCCGGCACTTGCGAGTTGCATCTCACTCTCGCCCAGAATGTTTGATGGCATATATACTCAAACTTGTATGAATACAAACATCAGTCTCTGCATACATGTTACTCGCACGTGATATTCTTGTTGTATGATGAAATTTGATCAGTTCCCACGAGCATCATGCGTTCAACTTTACGCAACAATTGACATCTTGAGAAAGACAAACATCACAAGTAGACCATTCATATGCCAACACTGGATGAAAACTTTCGCGTCAGAAGAAATTCTATTATACGACGAACTATCGAAGCTGCGACAAATTCCACTATCGACCTCATGTGAACCTGCTCCGCCATCGATGAGAAAATCTGCTTGCACAATCCACCGAGATCTTTTGGTCCGTCGCCGGATCCAGATGCTAACAGATGCTTTTAAGATGATGAGAAACCACCCAAACATGATGGTCCGAAAGAGCACTGAAAAGGCGGTGTTAAAAAGGATATGCTCAATAAAACAAAGGGCAAGGACAGAGAGTTGAGGGTGCCATCGACTTGATACCGAAGCTCGGACAAGTGAAAGAGAGGAATGACGATGATGCCGAATATTCCGGAGAGTGTCGTGCAATGGTAAGATAGTTGAACATTCTTGCCGAAGAAGACATCGTTACTGTGTAGTATGTTGACGGTAGCTGATCGATGCCAAAAAGGTCCACTTGTGAAGATACGACTGGTGGATGCTGAAGGAGCGATCACGAAGAATAGTGCGTACACGAACGTATAGCGACGACAGACGGTGCCAATTGGACTTGGATAAGCGCGGTGAATGTTCAGTCGTCTCGGCCGGAATGGCGGGCTGGGGAGCTAGATTTGTCCTCGACCTTGACAGGGGTAGCGGGGTTGGTTTTCATGTCAGCGCCCTGATCAGATGCACCATCGTCGCTCTTGACGGCACCGCCCTGTGTCATTTGGTACATTGACGGACGCGATGGACCGAGGGTTGAGGGAACTGCAGGTGCCCAGGGTTGGCGATAACCACGCTGCATGAACATTTCGAACTCATTCGAGGCGCCTTGTGAGACTGGAGAGATCGTGTGGTAACGGTCCGGTGTGCCCAAGGCCCTAGCCTGCGCGACACCGACCTCGTACTCGGCGGCGCGGAACACGCGTCCAGCAGCAGTCTGTTGCTTGAGCGTCTTCTGTTCATGCGTGTCGGAGAAGCGGATCTGGATGAGATGCTCCTCGCCACCTGGCTTGGAGACGGGCTTGTTGTTGAAGTTCTTGATGACCTCGTCGCAGATATCGCGAGACTCGAAACTGTTTGCTGTCAACGACATGAAGGACAGACAAGGAACGTAGATCGACTTACCGAGCAAAACCAACACCTCGGCCAGTGCCAGAGGTGTCGCGGAGAATCCTGCTCGAGCAGACCTTGTGAGGGGCAAAGATATTGGCCAGTTCCTTGAACACAGTCAAGACATATCATGTGTAAGGGAAAAGAAGGATACATACATGCTCATTCATGTTCTTGGGAATGTTGGACACATAGAGATTTGTATTGCCCTCGTCAGAGAACTTCTTGAGCTTGGAGTAAAAGGATTCCTAGAGGTGGTTAGTGGCAAAGTCTTGATCATGCAACCACAGTGAAAGCAAGGACTTACGCGAGCAAAGCTGACTTCATATCCAAGGTAGTGAAAGCCGCGGATGCAATCCTCTGCATCTTCAAAGTTGTGGTACTTTATGAACCCGAATCTGCAATGAGACGTCAGTGAGCTGGAGCTGGTTCTCAACAAGAAAGAAGACTCACCCCTTGCATAGGTTGGTCTTCAGGTCGATGATGGACTTGGAGCTCTGGATGTCTCCGAAACGCTTACCCCAAAGATGGAGCATTTCGTCCGCCGTTTCCGGAAGCAGGCCTCGAATGTAAACGTTGGTTTCGCCAGTCTTGTTCTCAAGGCTACGGTCAAGCGGCTTGTGTGGAGAGCTGGGAGCTGGGATAGCTCGCGGGATCGGAGGGTCCTGATGCACCAGAGCCAACAGATGTGGGGGCAACGACGGCATAGTCTGCTGCTTCTGAACAGGCGCCATGAGCTGATAGGGATGTACCAACTGCGATGGGGATGGAGTAGCGCTGTTCGTGTAGACGGCGCTCGGGGAGCGATCCATGATGGTTGTGCCAGCTCCATAGCGGTACATGCCACCGCTGCCATAGGGTGTGCCTGGGATATCGTTCTCGTTGGAGGACACGGAATCTCGGCGGGGTGTCATGAGCGAAGGCAGCTCACCCGAAGACATACGAGAGGCCCATCCTGGCGCCATGGGGCTGTGTTCGGCGATGGCTTGACCATACTGGTAGGCTGCTTGAGGAACGAATGCGCCGCCGTGACTATACATGTTGTGGGAAGGCGCTATACCAACCTGTTGCTGACCGCCGGGCATGACCTGGTACATTGACCCGAGGACATGCTGGTTCGGAACCCATAGGCCCTGCCCCTGGGCAAGGTGAGCGTTGCCGTAGTCCGATGAGTTGCCGGATAGGGCCGAGCTGGCCGACTTGGACGTGGCAGACGAGCCGTAAGAAGCGTGCATGTTAAGCGCTGCCATGGTGTTCGTCAGACTCTGCATGCTGTGTTCACCATTGGGGGGCATAGGCAGACCTCGAGGAAGGTATTGCGTAGTCCCGTGGCCCTGACCAGCTTGGCTGTAGGCGTTGAGCATATGCTGACCCTTGTAACCGGCAGAAGGGGCGTAGCCAGCCTGACGAGAGTTGGTGGCCATGACGATGAACCCGAAGATTGAGCTCGTGGAAAGGTGAACTGAATAGGCTGACGAGAGTCGGGGACACGAAGCCTGCTACGAAGAAGACGCGGGTAGACCGAAAGATGTGAACCTGACGAGGACCGTGACAGGGATCTCAAGGAAAAGTAGGGTTGACGGGACAGTTGAGATGCAGAGAAGAACGTTGCTCTGTGGACAAAGGTAAGCCTTAAATCAGAAGAAGACCGGGGCCGGGCCAGAGTACGGCCGCAAAGAATGGAGTGATGAGCGGTGATGGTGAGTACAGCCACACTTCGACGAGGAGGCGGGGCCCGCGAAGAGCCGAGGATCGTCATCGAAGTGAAAGGGGAGACAGGAAGTGGGGGAGGTGAAGGGTACTCACCGAGTCGTAAATGTCAAACTTTTGCAATGTGCGGGACTGGTAGTGACTCCAAAGCTGCCGAGCATGTCAGAACGTGAACGATAGATTGGTCGATAATGAGACGGGAACGGACGACTGACCTGAGAAAAGCTACAAAGAATGTGGCCACTGAAGCGTACTGGTCAGAAAGAAGTGGTGAAGAAAGAGTGAAGAGAAGAGAAGAAGAAGACGAGGGCGGGGGGAGAAGAGGCAAAGTATGCTCGATGGTGGCGGCTGGGCGTCGTGGATAGGGAAAGAACGCTGCGACGATGTCTCGGTGGAGGTGAGAAGCAACGGCCGAAGTATACACAGACGGCAGCCTCGTCTTCCACCCTGGGAAGTCGCCAAGCAAGAGCAAAACGGTGCGAGAAGGAGCTCACCTTGGTGACGTTGACGCGGAAGCAGTGACAGACGATTACGCATACGAGGACACACAAACGGCGCGGCGTTGAAATGCTAACGGTCTCTCGTGCCTTGCCCGACGAGTGTCTGGCGCGAGGCGTTCTTAAGTAATGCTGGGGAAAGAGCTGTTGCAATAGTGATGTCGAGAATTTCTTGCGGAAGAAGCTGCAGTGTGTGTGCTGCCCTTTCACTGCGGTGGGAGAAACACTGCTTTAATATTGCTGGCGCAGACGGTGCTGCATGGTTATGGCAAATCAGAGATGAGGTTCTGCGGGTGCTGCAGAGGTGCGAGGTCACATCAGTTGTGTACTCCACCCGCATATGCAACGGGCGGCCATGCCTCTCTAAGTCGAGTCTAGCATTCTTTAAACGACGAGGCGCCATCTTCTGCAGTCAAGCCTCCGCTTGCAGCGGCTGAGCCTTGCGCGCGGCGAAAGCCAATGCAGCCGCGTCGCCCTTGCAGCAAGGCTGAAGAATGAAGTTGTGAGAAAACACCACCTTTACTGTCACCCACTCATAATAAGGCGCCGCAAGCAAGGCCTCCTCCGCCAACATCTTTATCTGCTTGGCAGGACCTGTGGGATGCCCATGATCCGTTCTGTCACTTTTTCACATCCGCAACTTGCAGTAGCTTACGGCTGCCCACCATGAGCTCACCCAGGCTCGACGACATGCATCGCTCTGTTTGACATCAGTTAGCTTGCAGCACATTAGTGAGGGTGCACAGACGGGGCCTTTTCTTACGAAGAGCTATAATCTGGTTACCACCCGCCTGTGGGGAGCTTGAAATAGCTTGACGGTTGAGTGCGTCTGCAGCACACCTATGACTCCCGCGACAAGCCGGCGCAGTACAGCTAGTGATGATCATTGGTAACCGAGTTCAACGGTTATCATGTCGAGATTTGGTATGGCATGTCCTGCTCATCCAACGTTGGAGCGGCGCCTCTCAGGCGGCAATGCAGAGCCTCCACAAGCCGTCTCCCCGATGCAGCAAACAAATCTTCCGTAGTCCGTATTGGCGTCGAAAACGTCTGTGAGGTCTGCACCGGTAATGCAAAAGCCGGGGCAGATCCCGGAGCCAACCTGAAGTATCCCAACCTCTTGCACAGTGAGAGAAACGTTACGCTCGTGAGAGACATGAATGCTAAGTGCCCTTTGCGCGAGCGAGTGCCTTGGAAGTAGAGACAAGAAGGAAGCTGGGCCGCGAATCGATTTGTAGAAGAGAGCCGTGATGCGACACATGAGAAACTCTGGGAAAGGTCACTAACCTTGCTGGTACTTTATCTCCATCAAGCGCTGTGCAAACGGCCATATGGGGGCGTTGGTGAGCTGAAGTGCTACAAGCTTCACTCGATAGAGTGCTGCCCGCTTCTTCGCGTGCTGCGTGGGCGCATACGCACTGGTTACCGTGTCGCATAATCTTTCAAGCAACTATCCGGATATCGTTCGCCTGCTGGGACTAATACAGCAGACTAGAGAAGTAGCCTGCCTCAGGGGACGAGGAGGCCCACCGCTGTTGGTTTGCCAGGTCCAGTAAGTGGTATGGAAAGCTCTAGGAGTCCTGTATGGCGACGTCTGAAACAATGCCCGTCGAAAATCCGGCATATGGCATGCCTGCGATATCGTTCTCGAGATGTCATGCATGCTGTGCGCCGTTGAGAACTGCACGCTTGCCTCACGACTCAACTAGCTTTTGCTTCTGTCTCGGTCGCTCGAAGCTCTTACGTTTTGGCTCTACTAACGTTACCTCAGTCGACCTCCGACCTGGAACTTGGATCATCTCGTTACCGTCAGCGAAAGAGGCGGCAAGATCGGCTGAGTTTTTGTTTATGCTGCATGACCGACGTTGTACAAGGCGTGAACACAACTTAGCCCAGGCTCGTATCAGCCTCGCGAAAGCTCATAATATCTCCTGACCCTGTGCTGATCCGGCCTCTAGATAACTGGGGTTATTTTAACAGGTGTATGAGGGGCTGAGTATGTGCAGGCTTGATCTGTCTTGAGCGATACGTTATTGCTGAGGTGAGAAGCGTGTTTGGCACACTTCAAAGAAGACGGAATCGGATCCGAGTATTGTTGCGTGATTCTGGGTGTCCAGAATGACTTCATGTTGGCTATTAGGGCTGTCCAAGCTTTACTAAGGGGAGGCGGGTTGTTGAGATTTGGCTCTCCTGGCAAACGCGTCTGAGGTAAGGATCGTACGTTTGTCGAACTTCACCGCCTGTTGACTCTCAGCCTGCCATTGTTCACGATAATATAACGCTTAATCAAGACGACGAAGCAAATGATGGGGGCTGTTGGCCTCATGATCGGGAGAGATGAGGTTAAAAACCCCAGGTTACTTACGCGCTTCGAACTCTTGGCGTCGTGCCAACATCTCCCGCTTTCAATGTCGACCAATCGGCCTCCAGCCATCTTTCACTAGCAGACGTTTTGCCCACCACAGCAGGGCATCACGACATTAGTTCGTGGGAGTCTCTCTTGACAAACTCTGTGTAAGTGAAGCTAGCATTAACTTTGTCGCCATCTACGAAAGAATTTGATACAAAGAGTTGAGTACGAATGACTACAAGAGATTCAAATCCTGATATCCAACCTAGATACCTCCGCGTCTAACCACCCAAAAGGGTGAAGGGGTGAGGACGAAACGCCGTACTCGCTCCCAATCTAGCCTTAAAATGCTCAAAAAACCATCTATGTCGTCGATCATGACCAGACGTCTTCTTGGTACTGATTCGATGCCCTCATAGCCTTGACAATCTCCTCGCCCTTCGTCTCTGACACGTTCCTGTATTTCGAGATGATCTTGCCGAGAAGTGTGTTGACCTCGCGAGCCATGTGCGCCGCGTCACCACAGACGTAGAAGTACCCCTTCTGCTCCAAAAGACTGTTCACCTCCTCTCCATACTCCTCGAGATGGTGTTGAACGTAGACCTTGTTGGGACCATCTCGTGAAAAGGCAGTGTGGAGAGTAAAGTTGTCACCAAGAGCTTCCTTGTATTGCTGAGTCATATGTTAGCATTAGTTCGCAATTGAAACACGAGTATAAACTTACCGGCCATTCATTCTGATACAGGAAATCTTCGGATTCCTTTCTGCAACCAAAAAACAAAATAGTTCTACCGACGTTTTGACCAGCCTTTGCTTGTGCAGCTCGTTCTTGTATGAAAGCCCGGAATGGAGCAACACCTGTTCCTGGGCCAACCATGATAACGGGCTTCGAAGGATCCGATGGCAGTTTGAAGTTTGAATGACGTACATGTACGGGGACGTGAACACCATCGTACTTGTTGCGGGGTCCAGTGATGGCATAGTCCAAACCGTGAGGATCTGGGCTCGGGTCGCCGTGCTGCTTCTGCTTCAATGCCAGCAAGTAGTTTGTTGTGACACCCTTGAGAACATATGGTGCGCCAGGCTTTTGCACTGATTCAACGACAGCGGTGATGGAGATCTTGTCCTTCTGAACGAGAGAAGACGAGGAGATGGAATAGAAGCGGGGTTGGATCTTCACAAGAGTTTCAATGATGAAGGAGAAAGGGACCTTGGACCATGTCTCGCCTTTGCCTACGATTTCTAGGAGCTGTGCCAGATTGAGGTGACGGTTGGTTACTTGCTCCTTGAAATAATCCTTGTCGCTGCCGAGCTTTGTCAACTCGACCTTGATGTCTTCGTTCGGGGCGAATTGAGCAATAACGGAAACCAGCTGGCGAGAGACGGAAGCACCAATCTCGATATGAAAGCGGAGCGCCGCGTCAAAAGTAGTCGGGGACGGGAAAGGCACCTTTGCGGTTGGGTCGAGCCCCTTGACTGTAATAACACTGTGACGCTTGTTCTCCATGCCGAGCACCTTGAAGAGACGGTCGACTTCTCTTCCAGGATTGTTGGGCCAGATAGCAATGTGGTCACCGGTGGTGTAGGACAGGTTGGATCCGGCAATGCTGATTTCCATGTGTAAGCAGTTTCTATCTTTGGCGGTGAAGATCTCAGATGACTCGACGATGGGTGCGATGAATGGGTTGTTGGCGTTGAACGGGCCTTTTTGGTTGCCCTCAAGATGGTTCTTGTTTGGCTCACCAAGGTACACAGTGTCGTCTTCCGCAGAGAGATCGTCCCTCTCGGTGACCTCAAAGACGGCCTCATATACAGCCTCGCGTTCCTCCAAGCCCATTTTCTCAGCCACTGCAGTCCACATGGGCTCCTTCCAGGCCAGGAAGTCCTCTTCCATAGTACCGGCACCATCGTCGCCCTCGCCAGCAGCTCCCAGTCTGGTTGCACCGAGGGTAGTCAAGTATTTGTCCACATTGCGAACCATGGAGTTGTAATGCTCGTAGGTGTTGTTTCCGAGTCCGAAGGCAACGTATTTGAGTTTGCTGAGGGGCTTATCGTCGTCGCCTCCTTCTCCGCTGAAGCTGACGTCCTCTGAACCAATAAACTCGTAGAACTCGACGGCGTTGTCCGTGGGCTCGCCCTCGCCGTAGGTGGCAAGCACGAAGACGGCGAGTTTGTCCTCTGGGAAAGTGTCTAGGTTTTCAAAGTCGTATTCCTCCAAGTCAGCTACCATGGTCTTGAGCCCGAAGCGTGAGTGCCCCTCCTTGGACAGGCGAGATGCATAGTCCTCAGCGGTACCGGTCTGACTGCCATAGAAAACGACACAGTCCTTGTCCGATTCCTCCATTTTCTCGATGATATTCCGCGACTTGGCCGCTTTCGCTGCGCCGTTGGCGCCCGCTCCCGAACTGCCATATGGGTCTCCATAGACAGCCCAGTAGGTGCCTTTGGTGAAGTAGGCGACTGTGCCGATGAGGAGTGCAGCCAGCACGACGATGTCGAGGGTGTCGAGCTGCGCCATGGTGCTGGAGAAGGGAGAAGGGAGTGTGGGCGCAAGCGGAGGGAATATAGGTCGCAGCTGGCGGTCAAGGAACAGGTGGTCCTTCGGTTGTGGTGCAGCGGCTCGTGCGTCTGCTGTTGAGGCCAAAATGAACACTAACTACAGCAACAAGAACAACAGACAGGGCCCGCTGTTCTTTTGTCGGGCCTACTGCGCACCGTAAAGTGCAATGTGGCCAAATATGGTGCCGTCACCGTTTCTGTGGTGAGACCGAGTCCGGACGAGGTCGGGACGCCCTAATTCCGCTGCGAGCCAGTGCGAAGGATGTCCCGAACTTCGCTTTCGCACGAGCCCAGAATGGACCCTGTAATTCGTGTGGGGCTCGTGACGAGACCAGGATGTTGGTGATAGAGCGGAAGGGACCGGAATTTGGAGGAGCCGAACACGAAGTGGACTGCCAACTACCTAGATGTTTGTACGTGTGTATATTCTATACCGGTAGCAATCCGCAACACCAGTGGAACTTGGGACAGCTCAAGACACGCCTCAAGGAACACGCACATGTCAGCTAGGCCCCTGGTTCCAGTTGCCGCTCGTTGCCATGTGGAACAACATGCCAAGCACAGCTGACAGCCACGAGCTGTAGAATGCGTGAGATTTTAGCATGTTCCATGAATAGAGTATTGCAGGCCGGTCAACAGGCCTTGCCAGACAACGATACCACCTTGATCACTGCTGGCGTCAGCGAGGTAAGAAGTCATGTTGAGACTTGTCATCTGCGTCGCGTGGAGCAACATTGACATCTTGACCTCGATGACTACACCATGCAGCAACTGTCCTGACCTGCATCTGGCCTGTACACTAGGACAAAAGTAACTCCAGCGCCGAGTGACGGAGGGTCCAGCAATAATGTCGAGCACAGTAAGGTGACACGAAATGTTCAAGAGAGGCACGTATCTGTGCCACGTGAAGCCATGGATGCTCTCTTCTCCGCCAGCCTGAGGATCTTCAGCGCCACGCTGATATTGCTGCGCCAAAAGGCGATCCTAGCCACCGATTCGGGCTAGCATCCAGGAACGCGGCAAGGATTGTAGGCGACCTCAGTTACCTACCTGGGCATCCCGTCGAGTACAGGACGATAGACACCAAACGCCGTGCTCGTTTTCCCAGCACCACCTGCATCGCAGCCTTGCAGGCTATCTTGAATGCCTCCAGCGTCTGTCTGTTAACGCTCATGACGAGCTGCAGCAGAGTAGCGGCATGTGTAAGTGGCATTATTCCTCTGCGGCCAGGGCAAGGCCAGCATCCAGAGCGTTGGGCCGTCTCGAAACGCCCTCCAAACGCCGCCGCAGTGTTTGACACCACCCACTGCTGCCGTGCCCGCCCAGGCTTATCTGGACGTCAAAGCCCCCTCCTCCGCGACTGTGCCTGGCTGACGTGTGTGTGTGTGCTGCAGCTGCTTCGTCCCCACTCGCGCAAGCCCGACAAGCTGCTGGGAGCAACGAGTCGCACCATATAGGGCCCCCCTCGGCTTCCTCGGCCGCCCGCGAGCCTGTCACACGGGGCCGCACCCTCACGTCGAGTCGGACGCCGCGGTCACAGACGCCAGCAGCCGCCGTGGCTAGCAGCAACTCCAGCCCCGAGAGCTCGCTGCACCGCAAGGCCTCGCACTCGTATGCGCACAACCGCAACACGTCCATTGTGCACGGCATCCAGCACTCGCGCAACACGAGCTTCGTCAACTCCCCCGCCACGAGTCCGCTGAGCCCCCAGGCCATTGCCGCGGCGGGCACGGGAGGCACCTCTCTCGATGGAGCCATCATGTCGCAGGACAATATAGCCGAGGCCTTCGCCGCAAATGTGACGCACGCGGGTCCCGCTGTCGCAAGCGGGCATGTAGTCGCGGGCGATGGCGGCGTCCCCCACCGCAAGCCTGAGCGGGCTCCAAGTGGCAGGTCATCACGAAAGGGACACAACCACCACCGCTCGCAGTCGCGACACCCCCCGCACGCCCACGAGCTCAAGACGGTGGGCGAGTATGCGCTGCACCACCTGTTCAACTCGTTCATCAGCCATGCCGACCAGAAGATGAACCAGTGCATGCCGGACCGTGGCCAGCCCGAGCCTAGAGTCGAGCTGATCTGCGGGCCTGGCGTCGACCCCAACTTCGACCAGCTCATTGCTGCCCTGGGCCACATTGCCCGCCACAAGCCCAAGCCTCTGATAGACTCCATCATGCTGTGGCGCAAGGCAAAGAGTGAAAAGGCTTCGGAACTGCGTGCCCAGCTACTTCACTTTCGCCAACCGACTTCCGTCCCCAGTCCCGCCCTTGCCCGTAGACACACAGAATCGCTCCATCAGCATCCAGACAATCACTCCACAACATCTGTCGCGTCTGGCGCTGAGCAGCTACTCACCCTGCAGCAGACCGTGACCCAGGCCGAACAGCGCTCCACCATATCGACGTATATTCTGTGTCGTGTACTCATTGAGATCATAACTCAGACTGACCTCGAAAAGCTTACCTTTGATATGGCCGACCGGCTGCTTGGTCTCTTCTACGGCCAACTCAACACCGTAGATCCCGAGTTGGTGGCGACATCGACTCTCAATCAAGCCAATTGGACAGTATATAGCCAACTGCTCGGAGTTCTAAGTGTACTCATTCCTCATCAAGTGCAAGAGCGATTCATTGCCGATCTCAAAGTTGTAGACGGCCAGCTATCTATCAAGGGCCAGTACACCCGAGATGTAGAGGCGAAAGGAGCTTTGCTTATACGTGCTCTGGGTCATTTGAAGCTCAAATCACAACCTGAAGATGCCTGGGACCGAACCTGCGACTTCATGCTGTCGTTGGCGAAGCTCTTTGCTAGTGCACATGGTCAACCAATGAAGTACGCCTACTGTCAGGTGCTCCGAGATCTGTTGATACGTATCGCATCCAAGACCACGGTAGAGATCAGCTCGCCCAAATGGAAGCCTGTGGTCGACGTCTTGAGACAAAGGACGTCCATTCTCCTTGGCAAACCGAAACACTGGCACGAAGCTTTCCCACTCATGACCGCAATTTTATGCGTCTCTCCAACGGAGACCTTCCTGTCACAATGGCTGGCAATTGCGTTGTCTACCCAACCCAAGCTCAAAGAACGCGCGACACGAGCAATTGCACTTAGAGGTCTCTGTCAGCTTGCGTGGACGTACTTGTACAGAAAAGGAACAGAACCGTCCGATGTTGCTGTACGCAAACTAGAAGATCTGATACGGATGGTGTTCCAGCCAGGGCGACGATCCTATCTCTCGACTGAGCCCATGATCGCAGAACCGCTCATTCAGCTGACACGAATCATTGGCTTCAAATATCAAGACCTTTGTTTCAAGACAATAATCTTTCCGCTCCTGAACTCGGAAATGTTCGCATCTGGCCGAGAGCTTCGTGTCGAGAATCTCGAGCCTGATCGAATGGTGATTGGCATTCGCTCATTTCTTGCCATTATGGCAGATCTGGAGAATATGAAGCAGCCACCCTTCCCAGTCTCTTTCGACTTCGACCCAAACGCAATCTCGACTGATCTGCCAGCTCTTCCAGTTAGCCCACGTCCGCTGCAGCACCTTCCCATGAAGTCCACGTTACTTAAAGAGGAACGACTTTCACGGCCAGTAAACTTTACAGCATTTGCCGAGGTGGCAAAAGAGTACTATGTCCGCTTTTGCAAGATACTCGGAGAGATAACAATCATTTGCGACAATGCATTTGGTGGACAAGCTGTCCTTGATGAGAAGTTCTCATTGCAAACGCCAAAAACACCCATGTCTGAAGCGTTTAGCTTTGGTCGTCGAGATGACCATCAGCCCTCTATAGACCCTCGCCAAGGTTTCTACGATCTGTTACATGTTGCTGTGCAGGCTTTGCCCCGCTGCTTATCTCCACATATCCCCTTCAATTCTCTTGTCAATCTACTGTGCACTGGAACAGCGCATGTCCAGGACAACATCGCAACATCCTCGGCACAATCACTCAAGTCGATTGCGCGTCAATCTCATGCTCAACAAGTCACAATCGGGTTTGCTCGGTTCATCTTCAATTTTGATGATCGTTATGCCACCATGTCAGACGGTGGCATGCTTGGGACTGGTCATATTGAGAACACATTGAACTTATATGTGGAGCTGCTTCAGATCTGGATTGAAGAAATCAAACAGAAAACGCGCAAAGCAGCATTAGACACCCCAGATGATGGATCCGGTAGCCGAGCCGCTCAGCTTGATCTCTCATCGATCTGGACTCAGGTCGAGGAGATCGAGTCTCACGGGTTCTTCTTTCTATGTTCACCGTCTCGTCGGGTACGAGCTTATGCAGTAACAGTCCTTCGTCTCATCACAGAGTTTGATACGGCTCTAGGTGGTTCTAATACAAGAGTCATCCGTGTGATAGAAGGAAGTCCCCAGAGGGTCATGGATATCAGCGACGACAAGCTATCCCTTGCTGAAAGGAGCCGCCTTCAGCGTGGTATGCGCAAGAGCAACGTACAGAGCACGCTGGTCGAGCTTTGTAGTAGCGACGTTCCTTACGATTCCACACTCTGGTTTAAGATCTTTCCTAATCTGGTTCGCATCAGCTTTGAAGTTTGCCCTTTTGCTATCACGCTCACCAAGGACATTGTTTGCGCCAGACTATCTCAGATGTATCGAACGATGCTCTCTCTAGCCGATGGTCATCGTGCAACACCATACTCGCCGTACGAGTCTAACATGGGTAAGATCAGCAATCGTCTTGCGTCTACATCACCAGATGTCGTCATTGAGCAATGGAAGCTTTATCTTATATTTGCCTTTACGACCGTGACGAACTTGGGTTCTAATGTCGCCTCGTCGACGCATAGCCACGTTTCGCAACATTCTCGAACAAGCTCTAAATCGTCCCAGAAGAGCTCGAACAAGGTACATACAGCCACCGAGCTATTCTCCAAAGTTCTGCCGTTTCTGTCTGTGGAAGAAAGTGCCATACGAGATGCTGCTGTCGTCGGCCTGGGGTCGATTAACAAACTTCTATACCGTTCGTTGCTTCAATCCCTTCAAGGCCATGTTGCTGCGTGCGCCGAGGAAGCCAAAATACGTTTGAACACACACAACCGGACACTCAGTAGCCCACGGCGCAATCGACGTACGGACCACCTTCGAACCGAGATCACCCATGTCTACAAGCTTACATCTCAATTCTTGAAGCTGCCTGAGGCATACAACGACGAGTGGATCGTGAACAATCTTATGAACTATACGAAGGATTTGAGGATCTTTTTGAGTGACGCCGAGATACAAAATGAATGGGAGTTCCAAAAGCTTCGCACGCACTATTGTGGCCTTATCGAGGTACTGTTCGAGGGCATCAACAGAACAAGCGATCCTCTGCACTGGATGCCATTCCAGGCTCGCAAAGCAGCCTTCACCCTGATGGAGGATTGGTGTGGCTATTCGGCCAATCAGCCGCAGATTCGGCAACGAGAAGAGAATATGAGGCGTTCTATGCGAGATCGCGAGATCGACATGGGCAACAAGGGCAAGGCGCCTGCTGCTATGGAAATTGAGAAACGTGATCTTCGGACAGCGGCCCTCAGTGCTATGGCTGCATTGTGTGACGGACCAGTCAGCATCACGACTGATAGCAAGGTCTTGCTCCAGTTTGACGTTCGAAGAATGCTCTCTTGGATTGACAGCATCTTTGAGACACCCAGCGATCGGACACATACAATCGGTCGTCGAGCGCTGACGAACTTGATCATCCACAATCGCGAGCATCCTTACCTTCTGGATCGGGCAATTGAGATGTGCTACCTCTCCAAATCTTCCAAAGCCCTTGAAAGCTATTTCGAAGTGGTCACTCAAGTCCTCACGCAGCGTGAGGATTATACGCTACCTTTCTGGAAAGTCTTAAGTGCCGGTCTGTACACTTTAGGGCATGAAAACAGCCAATTGCGCATGAAGTCGGCTCGGTTGCTCAGGATCCTTGAAGCTCATGAGCAAAAGAACTCTAAACTACAGGATTTGGATATCTCCATATCAGATAAGACAATCGCTGTCTACAAGGCTGCCCAATTCGACATCTCACGCCGACTTGCTAAACAACATTCAGAACTCGCTTTTCTGGTGTTTTCTCAGTTCTCGTACTACTTCAAGGAGCTCCAGCCCGACCATCAACGCAATATGGTAGCCGCCATGTTACCCTGGGTTCAGACTGTTGAACTACAGGTCAATCCTGACGGGGGGCCCACTGCAAACTCCTACATGCTTCTGGTCAATCTCTTCGAGATCACTGTTCGCTGCGGTAATGCACTGCACAATGAGATTCAAGCGCTTTGGCAAGCTTTGGCCACGGGACCATATGGTGGCAACGTACAACTAATCCTGAACTTCATCATCAATCTCTGCTTAGACAAACGTGAACAGAACTATGTTGACTTTTCGAAGCAAATCGTAGTCTATCTCTCCAACACGCCGGCTGGCTTGAAGGTCGTAGAATTCCTGCTTCTCCAGATCAATCCGCGATCTATGGTGAGCGAAAAACGCGAACCAACACCACCGCCACCCGATGCTGTCAATCTTCCTTACTTAGCCGATCTTAGCGCCTTGCTTCCAAGCAGCAACAAACAAGTAAGTATTGATGCTGTTGGTCGAAGTAACACTGCTAACGTTGCTAGTCTGGATTTGCATTGGGCCAAATATGTCTCATCTTGCTCGTCGATCTGATGGTATCGCCTGTGCAACTTGCCAATGAGCACATACCTTTACTGATACAGGTTATTCTCGTGCTTTGGGATCATTACACTCCCGTAGTACAGGACCAAGCGAGAGAGATGCTAGTGCACCTCATTCACGAACTTGTCATTTCCAAGATTGACGACGACACGACGGGCATTGACAAACGAAGTATCGAAGACTTCATCGAAAGCGTTCGTCAACATGACACTAAAGTAGTATGGAGTTACGATGACAAAAACGGCAAGGATCTAGAAGACACCAGCTCCAAAGTTCCAGAGTCGATGGAATATGTTGCCGGCGAGGTTCTCAAGTTTTTCTCACTTGAATATCCTGGACTTAAGGAAGCTTGGGGTAGAGTAGCTTTGAACTGGGCTACGTCGTGTCCAGTTCGACATCTCGCATGTCGATCCTTCCAGCTCTTTCGTTGCATTCTGAGCTCGCTCGATCAACAAATGCTCTCTGATATGCTTGCAAGGCTTTCAAATACCATCTCAGACGAAGAGAGCGACATCCAGACCTTCTCGATGGAAATATTGACGACACTACGAGCGATCATCGAAGCTCTAGCACCCGAAGACCTCATTCAGTATCCCCAACTCTTCTGGACCACTTGCGCTTGCTTGGATACTATTCATGAAGGCGAATTCATGGAGAGTTTACTCATGTTGGAGAAGTTCCTGGACAAGCTTGACCTCTCCGATCCCGATGTTTTGCTAGTTCTTGAGGATAGTCGCCCAGAGAGATGGGAAGGCAAGTTTGAAGGTCTTGCTCAGCTCACATACAAAGGTGTTCGATCAAGCTTATGCGTAAATCGATCGTTGCGCCTTCTCGAGAGATTGGTCGTCTTACCCTCAAGCCGTATCGTGGGTGACGACAGCCGACTGGTCTTCACCATCTTGGCAAATCTACCAAGATTTTTGAGATCCTTTGACTCCACTGTGAAGGAATCTAGTGTCAGGATAAGTGCCGAGGTGCTTGCTCGGGTGGCTCAGGAACACTATCAATGTACCGCGCTTTCGGATGCGCTGACAGCTTTCTCGATGAACAGATATCGCATGGACAAGGACTTTCTCGCACAGGTGCTATCAGCTATCCGAACGATGTTCTTCCCTGAGCTCGAATTTGGTAGCTTAGTGTTCCTTCTGAGCCTTCTCACCAACAAGATCGACTGGGTGAAGATCAAAACCATGGATGTCCTGTGCGTTCTCATCCCCGAAATCGATATGCGAAGACCCGAAATAGCTTCAAAAAGCCATGACCTTTTCTCTCCGCTTTCAAGATTGTTGCAGAGCGAACTTTGTCCGCAAGCTTTGCGAGTTCTCGATTTCGTTATCAATCTCAGCTTGATCAGCACACCAACCATTTCCGAGAAACAACTCATTCGCATGAGCATGGCTGGCTCGCATTCGACTAGGGGCTATAGGAAACAGTTCGAGAAGACCCAGTCGTTATACGGGATTCCTGAAGATAGCGGTTGGTCAATCCCTATGCCTGCTCATCACTCGCACTTGACAAGGGCCAATGTGCATGCCGTCTTCTACACTTGTAGCAGCTCTGAGGATGCTGATGCACCAGAAACGGAGACGCCCAAGATCGAGTTTCGCCAGGAAGAATTCCCCTTCAGTCCTTTGTCAGACTACCGAACAGCAACCATGACATCTGAGGATACGCGCGGCGAGAGTCACATTGGCGAGCTGGTCATGAAGCTGGATAGCCTGGACGATTTCTTTGAAGACGACGACGACGCCGAGACGTTGACTGATCTACCCAATTTCTCCTCCTCTAGCCGTCATGCGAACAGTCCGTACGCAACTCCCCTGCTAGAGAACCTGTACGATCAGCAGACAGCGCCTATTCTGCACAAGAGCCTGACGCGCAACGCGAGCGTGACCTCCTTCCAATCGGGATTCATCTCCGATGTCAAGTTGTCCCCAGCTAGAGATCCTGGTGTCATGACGCCCGCTGCATTCAGCACCTTCACCTCCACACCGCCCTTGTTGAACATGCCTGCACGTCCGGGTCTGCATGCCCGTTCCGTCACATCGCCCTCCGCGCCGAACCAGGTCCAACGCGTCTCGCCCTTGCTGACTTCCACCGTTGTCGACGAGCTTGCAGAGTCCTTCTCCGACGACGAAATGGTAACTGGTCGCATACATGACGCGGAGAAGTCATTCAATCTCGAAGGCACGGTCAGACCTGTTGGACACGATACAAAGAGCCGGTTCCGAAACGGAATGAGAAGACTGACCGGCGGAGGCGGCGATGCGAAGGATGGGCTCAAGACAAGAGAGGCGATCAAACTGGCGCTGCAGAAGAGTCCCCAGGTTCCAAAGGTGCCTGATATCTATCTTGTTAATCCGAAGAGTTCGGATCTATGAAGCGTTGTCGTATTGGTCAGGCGGGGAGTTGCATGGTGCGCGGATCGTTTCATGGCGTTTTGCGTGACGAGAAAGGGGAGGGAGGTAATGTTTATGCCATCTAGCTGACTCTGGGAAATGTAGATGGATCGTAATGTTGGGGTCGTATGGTGGTGGTGGTGGTGGTGGTTATCTCTCACCACCAAGGTGTTGCATGTCATGTATAGAAAGTCCTGGCGAAACGTTAAACGCTCCTTTTTTTCGCCATATACCACTTTGATTTCAATCAAGACGCTATTTTCCAGACATACATCTTTCTTTCATGAGAGATTTGCTTTCTTACTACGCGTGTGAGAGGGGTGCTGTGAATGTAGAGGCTTCACTGTGGTGTGTGACATGTTGGGGTGGGTAAAACATTGCGGTGGTTCGTTTTTACGTTGTTGGTAAATGGGGGAACAACGATGCTGGGTTGAGGCGGATTGAAGATGGTTGGTTTGCTTACCGATACGTCTTGGGAGGCAGGTATGGAACGGGGGTAACAGACACTCTTCGTCAAAAGGCTATTTCGCTCACCCTGGAACCATCATTCGTCGCTACTTTCGAAGCTGATCCATCACAGAAAACTCAGTCCCCGTTGCGACTTCCTGGTCCGAAGAAACAGAAGTGCCGCCCGAGTCCTTGCCACAACCCAAAACCTCGCAACGAAGTTTTCCAGAGCATTCAGATCCAACGATGACAATCCATAAATTCTCATAACACGAGACTCCGTCGAACAAGTGACACCCCATCCATTCACATAACCGCATACAAGACGCTTCAACAAACGATCGGTTGTCTCACACAGTATACTGATTCACACCACCCCTTCACGTACACACAACACGCCACGGATCCAGCAACACAAGCACCAACCTCGCCCCCAACAAGCCACGACACCAACAAAGCAACCATGTACTACCTAATCCACACCACGTACCACTCCCGTCCATACGTGTCAATCATCCCTTTCATAGCACGAGACTTCCGCAAGTGGGGATATCGCGTCGACAGCTATACCAGCGACTCGCCATACATTGCCGAAGTCAAGCTGCGCGAGAAAATTGCGGGTCCGGGGATGGGGAGGACGGAGATCATGGAGATCTGGGCGAGGGAGGTTGTGGGGCGCAGGTGGCAAGGGCATATAGCACAGCAGAGTGAGGTGGAGGGAATGGTGGAAGAGGGGTTGTCGCTGCTTGAGAAGCGAGAGGCGCGGGCGTCGGGTATGGTGGGGGACTTTGTTTTTGGTGTTGCTGAGTTTGGTGAGTGGGACTGCTGATTATACTCTTTGAATGTCACTTCAGCTCACTGCTCGTTAGGTATATCTCCTTCTGTACATACCCCTCTCAACGCGGCCCAACACCCCGTACCAACAGGCCCCCTGGCTTTGATCAACAAGTACATGCGCCTCTTGAACTGCACGAAATACATCCCCAACGCCACACTACCCCCCTGGTCGACTCCCGACATCACCATCGCCGATCAGATCATCATAGAGTTCCGCTTCCATGAAGCTTTCAGAAGAGCCCACCTTGTGCAGGCCCTGGTCAAGACAGTGAACAAGAATCGTGGGCGGATGGGCAGGGTTGAGAAAGATACCATGACGGGTGTTACGAGAGTGCTTATGTTTGTTTGTGTTGGTGATTGTTTGGGGGTGGAGGGGGGCCAGGAGCCAGAGAGTAAGGATCCGGTGCCGAAGTATGAGAGGGTGGAGCGGCCGCCGCCGTATGTTGAAGATGTGGGTTCGTTGGCGGTGGAGAGGACTTGAAGATTGTAGAGGAGGTGGTGAGATTTGGCGTGGTGGGTGGTTTAGAGATTGGTGTAGCAAGACAGTTATTTGATAGAATGTACCACGGTTATGTTAGACACTGTAACTTTGGCATGTTTTTGATATTATCCCTTCTTGTGCGACGTGATGTGCCTTGCATACGTCTTAATCGTCTGCCGTGATCTGATTTTTAGCTGCCAAGTAGCTGTAGGTAGCTACTCACGGGCAAGTATATGGCAATCTTGTAGTGGCATAGGCTTCACATTGAAAAAATGATTGATATCGTATCATTCGTAAATTTGGGACCGTGTGCGGCTACGAAAGCTGCTATCACGAGCGAAGTTCTACTCCAAACGTAGTTAGATGCAACTCATCTCTCCACACCGAGAATGCTTATAGCGATCTGGACTGTGTCCCACATTGTACAACCAACCCAGTCTATCTATCATGGCGAGTCGTAATACAGATTTTACCCCCAACCTGTAGAGCGCTAATGTCAAAATACAATCGCTACGCTTTCGAACTCCAAAGTTCTAGGAATTCCCATACTCCAAGAACTGTGCCGACGTCCAATGATGGACATGTTGCTTTGCCGGTCCGTTACGTGGCCCATTGTGGGAAAACAAATCCGTCCGCCCGTTCTTGTACTTTTCCGAGGAGCAGCTCAATATTTTAATCGTTTTCCAAATCTTCCAGTTCTTTATGTCTCCTCTCCAACTCCTGTCTCATGACTTCTGCTTCCCGCCTCAATCGTTCTCTTCTCGCCGTTTTATCTTCCTGCGCCGCTGTCGAACCTGGGGACGGTCCTGCGCTCGATCGGGACATTGCCGACAGCGATGGATCGATGTTGGCGTCTTCTGCTCGAGGTGGGTTGAGAATAGATGAGATGGCGTTCGGTCGATGGGGGATCGGATTTGCAGCTATAGGGCGCGCTTCTTCGAAGTCCATGGACAGGCTTCGGCTACGCTTCCTGGGTGATGGAGCGCCTAGTTGCGTAGCAGATGACGTACGAGGGGCCAATGAACGCGGCGTGATCGACAAAACCCCAGAATAATGAGTGAAATCAATTGCGATAGGTCCCCGTGGTTCGGGAGTGTAGCCCTCTCTGGAGGCGATGGTGGTTGATGTTTCTGGGGATGCTGAATGCTCGAATGCGGGGGTTTCGGAAGCGCGTTGGTTGGGTGAATAGTCGGCGAGGGATAGTGAAGGTTGAGAGTTGGTATCACCAGCAGGCACGACTCGTTTTCGACGTTTGATCTCCTGCTTTTTCATTGCGACTGGGCGATGGGTGCCATGGAGTTTGTAATACAGTCCTGTCAGGCCTTCGTTAGTCATCGGCAGAGCATTTGTTAATATGACTATTGCGACTTAGGCCAACGTACCACAGGCATTGCAAATGATGTGACCCGCGTCATCTCTCCGCCAAAGAGGTGTTATGGTAGTCCCACAATTTTGACAAGCAGGAATCGCGTTCGTGGCACCTGTCCCCGTGGACAAGCCGGTGGCCGCAGTACCACCGCTTGCGGAATCATCTGGTCCAGAAGTAGCATGTGCTTGGGCTAACGCAAATTTGGCAGTTTTCGAGACACGATTGTTGAATGCAGGACATCCGCTGCAGCCCTGTTGACCACCAGTACCGTTACATCTTCCTCCACCAGGACATGTCCCCACTGACATCTGGTCCGCCGCCACATATGTTGCGACTCGCGGAGACGCAGCTAAATTACCAGGGGAGGTGCTTCTAGTTTCACTGTGACATGGTCTTGGGCTTTGCTGTGCCGCAACCGTCGGTTGCGTTTGGGTGTTACGTTTTAGGTTCACTGGTCGGGACTGATTCCGCGCCTTCAGATAGAGCCCACAGGCATTGCAGACCGTCTCGCCAGTTGGTGAGCGTCGCCAGAGCGGCGTTTGTGTCGTTCTGCAGTTACTGGGTCGTGTCAGCACCTGGACATGGATGCGAGTGGCAAATGAGACCGAGCGGTCAACTGCACACATCAACCCAGAACATGTTTTACATACCTGCAAACTTGGCCAGAGATAGGCGCACTTCCTCCTCCAGCGATTCTAGGTGGCAAAGGTGATGATATTGAGGTTGCTGGTGTCGCCGGTCCTTGTGAAATGGGTACTGCATCCTCGAGTGAATGATAAATCTTGGATTCTGGTTCTGTTTGAGGAGTGTCTGGCTGATGTTCTTGGAGAGTGATCTCTTGTCTCTGTCCATGGGTTTCCTGCACTTGATTCAAACGTCGAAGAGCATCAGCCATTTCTAGTTCGTCCCTACTCGATTCTCTCGACAAGTGATGGGGATGTGTGGGTGTTGGTGCGAGCGATGTGCCTCCGCGGCCAGTATGATGCGCCATGGAGTTGGATGGCGTGCCACTGGAGGGCGGTTGCGAAAAACTACCGCTGCCTACGGACGCGACAGCTCACTGTTGCCTGGGGACACGCGATTCGTCTATGGATGAGGGCAGCCGTGCGGAACACGGGTGTCTCGGTTCCGTGACCAGCTCGATTCGGTAGCCAAACAGGAGTGCAGGTATCGACGTGTGACGCCAACGTGACCTGGGCTGATATATGCCGATTTATAATTTGGATTGGTGATGTTGGGCTGTGTAGCACTCAAATGGGTGAGAATCGCTTTAAGATGATTCTGATTCAGCAAGGGAGATCGGCATGCGGCTGGCGACTGATTCCTGTTCGTCACCCAGCTTGCGATGATTGCTGGAGAGGGTTGGCGGTGTGGATACCTTGAGCTTCTTAGCATGAATAATGCAGTGGGTATCATTGGCTACCGCCGTGATTTTAGCGTCTTCGACCCTTGGTTCGAGCAACGGTTCGAATAAACTAACAATCTTTACGACGATGATGAAATTGGCTACTCTCTTGTACCAGATCGGTGTAATACGGCACGCTGCTCCGACCAAAGAACGGTGGCCAAGTCACTGCAAACTGAGCCAATCCTGCTGTGGCGGCGAATAGAAAGAACGATTTAACTCTACTAGCTTGCCAGACCACTCAAGACTTGCAGCTGCCCTGTCAGCGGGATCTATTCCGGTGCGCCACTACTCACCAATCAATGCTACTTGTTTTGCATCTCGTCGCGACTACAAACCAATCTGAACCTAGCCGACACATTCTACTACAGCAGGTAGACAATCAGGCTCACCGCTCTCCAGACTCCTGTCCCGTGTGGATGGATGCGTGCTCTAGACCCGGTTTCGCAGCTTGTTCGGCGATCTTTCAAAGATCTTATCAGACCAGACCTCCCTAATCCTGTGAGCTAGCAGTTAATAGCGCCATACGCGGTACCGGTAGCCTGAGTCCGTCTCATGCAGAGCGGACACTAAGGGACAAGCGAACATGCGTAGGATGACCTTGTTTACCTCTAAGAGGAGGCTTGCATTTCGTGCGACCTCGGTCTCTGCAAGGATTACGTACGTAGGTATTGTGATATCAAAATACGATCTCTTCGTACACGGCAACCATCTATGTAGATACATACTCCCACAGGATATCTCCATGAATACGGCCAGCATAAATCCACCTCACGCTTCAAAAAGCCAACGTTCAACTACAGGACTATCGCCACCCATAAACTCCTAACCAACAGAGCCTCCGTCCAAGTTACACACTTTTAGTACACAAATAACAGCCAAGACTTCAGCGTCGAGGGTGTCGAGATACGCACGCGTATCCTTCTAAAGCCATTCGCGAAGGCTGCGGTTGAGACCTCTAGACTTGCTCGGCGCCCCAACCGGCATCGGCGTCGCTGTGAACAACATCAGCATTATTGTTGTTTGCGAGACTTCAATCAACGTACCGCATGTTCGCTGGAGGCTCGATCGATGGGATGAACTCCAAAGCAGAGTAACCAAGTCCGATGATGCCTACGATGGTACCTGGGACAAAACGGAACCAACGTTCACCCACGATGACAGAGCCAACGAAGACGTAGACTAAGTCGGTCAGCATAAGGTATAAAGTACGCGATGCATGATCACTTACAGATACCGCGGCCGAGGAAGGAGAACATGAAGGATGCATATCGGGCGACTTGCTGGGGAATCTGGAATTCCAGCAAAGCAGTGCCTGTTCCGTTGTCAGCGAGTTGAGAGCACATATTCTGATACGAGCCTTACCAAGACCGAAGATTATCAGATAAACACCGAGAATTATGTGCGAGCTGTGTATGATGTCAGCACCTTCCTCGAGCACACCATCAACCCCTCCCGAGCGTCATATTGCATATTGATGCACTGAGAAGATTCAGATCTCCGAAGATGTCGAGATTCTACGCGTCGCCCTGAGTGTCCCTCATATGAAGATGCAGTTGCGGTGCGACCCATAGGTCCAGATGCTGCTCAGGGTCGATTGGCGAGGCACCCATCCCTAACAGACAACATCCCAAACAGCTGTGCTGAATGCCCATATAGTGTGCCATTCATATCCTCCCAACTTCAGGCTTGCGACACGACTCGTAGACTCAGGAGTTTGAATTCGAAGGTCGGACGGTTTCGACAAAAGAGAGCTTTGTGCACCGGGCGAACTCACAAATCGGTGAACGGGAACAGCTTCGCGATACCGCCGAGGACCATGAATACCGCGACGGCGAAATTCACCATGCGACTACAAGATGTCAGCTTCCAATGCCTCGAAAAAGACCGTTGCCTGGCTTTGTGCAGCTCCAGCGTCGCATGCACTCACAAGATGTCGGAGAAATCCATGGTGGGCGAGCTGGAGAGATTGGGGAACCGCAGCTTGAGTGTCTTGTCCTCGGAAATGTACTGAGAGCTGGATGGACGGGCGATGAACAGATGGGAACGTATTGGAATGCAGGATGTCGCGCGACGTGTTGGAATGTGGAGTTGCGCGCCAAGAAAGAACCCAAAACGTCATAGCTGACTCATCCATCGCAGCGCTCTTCTAACTTGCCAGTTCCAACTCCAATGACTTGGAACTTCGCAAACAAGAGATGCAAAGACTCAGTCTCTTTAGTGATATCTTCCTAGTGCTGGTCATCGCCCGGCAGAACATATCGCTTATTGATTCACCCAGTCTCAAATTTATAACGAAAATAAGAAAAATCTCAAGATATCTAGCTACGAAAAGTCAGGAGTACAAATAGTACTGCCATCTCAATTCTACAAGTTTCGCCTCCTATCCTATGTATTGTACAAAGCTCCAGCGCAAGGCCCAAGATGGACAAGTTCCATAACTCATCATCATCATCAGTCTCATCTCATACCCTCTCTACCTCCTCCGCAACCTCCTCCCATTACTATTGCAAGTCCCCAAGTCCCTAACTTGTCTCAGACATCTCCTTACCCGCCCTCCTTTTCCCACGTGGTTGTTTTCTGTGTCTGTGTCTGAATCCGAATCCGTGTCTGTATCAAGATGTTCGTTTCTCAATATCTCAATCCCCTCCCTGACTTCCAATGATTCGGCACCAGATACAGTCGGCTCAAGCTGCTGTTCTGCTTCCTCCACAGCAACCTCTTCGTCCGGTTTCTCTACCGCTTCAAGCCCGAACGCAATCGCGAGATCATGCTCCTCGCCCCTACTACTTCCAGACTGGCGTAGCTCCCTCACAGCGATCGACATGGACATCCTATCCTCATCCTTCTCTTCTCGCACCTGCGTCACCACAACCCCACGTCCATCCGCTGCCATCGCGACCCACACCCCCACCTCGATACTGGGCACCATGCACACCTGGCTAAAGTCACTGAAAGCATCTTGCTCTGCAAGGTCACAAGTGCTGGCTTGTATGGATGGGCAAGTGACGTCGGGCTCCGAGGTTGATGAATCGCTCGGCATGAGCGAGAAGCGGCGTGTGGTTTGAGAGATGAGCGGAGGCGGCATGTCGAGTGTATCTCTTGCGGCAGATGTTGGTGTCGCGAATAGCGGGACAGGTATTTCGGCCGCTTCGACAATCTCCTTCGTGTCAAACGCGTGCATGTAGTCGTCCTGTGTCGTCGGGGAACATGCGCTCGACTCATCGGATCGTCCCTGCGCCGGATCTTGAACTCCATGTACTTCATCCGGCGTGGGTGTGGTCATATGTCTGCGTGGCCCCTTGTCGATCTGGTACATGTTAGTTTGTCCATGAAGGTTAACATGATAGATCGCGAAGTATGTCATACCTCATCGCCCAATAACGCCATGATATCGTCCCACAACCTCTCCATGTCCGTCTCCCCGATGGATTCATCTTTCTGTGGCGTCGGCGCGCGTTCCTCCTCCTCCTCCTCCTCCTTCTCCACCTCAGAAGCAGAATACTCATCCTCTTCCAACACCACACTCAAAGCGCCTGCTTCGAATTCTCGTCTCTGAAATTCTGGGATGAGAGCTTCCTGCTCCTCATCACGCTGTGTTTTCTCTGGGTCAGAAACTAGGGGCAGACGAGGCGGAGGACGGAGGAAAAGGGCGCGATTCCACTTCGATCTCAGCGCTTTTCGTGTCGAGGCCTTGGGACCGGGGATGCGGGATGAACGGGGTTTTGGTACAGCCATCTTTGTTCTTGGAAGGGAGGGAGACTGTAAGATGCACGGGGAATGGTGTCCGATTGCAGGAATAAGGGAGTTTGGGTTGTGGACTGGGATGAGATGGAGAGAGAAGGAAAGGCATGTTGCTTGGGCACATCTCTTCAGGGTTCAACAGGAATTTGGGAACTGGGACTAGGAACCAGAGTTGAAGTCTCCACTCCGAAGATCTACTCCTGCAAAGGGTACATGTCAGCGAAGGGCTTTTGCGAGCACAGGATGGGGTGTACCAGAGAAGGGTCTATGACGGGGCGAATGCAATTAGCCTGATAGAACGGATGGAGTGACTCAAATAACTCTTAATACCGATTGTCACTTAATAACGTCTCGAGACCTGCTTGCCCCAAACTCTACAACGCGCACCTACAAATCCCACTCATCGACCTCGACAACCTGCACGACTAGCCCCTTCGGCTGCATAAACTCGACCACACCCTGCACCGAATCGTTCTTCACGTGCTTCCCAAAGACCCTGGTTGATGCAAGAATTATTTTAGCGTCGTTCCTTTCCACGTTTGTTGCTGCGGGTGTACCCGTGTCGATCATCCTCTCCCGTCGCTCGAGTTCGGCAGTCCAATAGCCCTCCAACTGCTCGGCTCGTCGGTCGCCTTCGAAGCGTGCGTTCTCTTGATTCCGCGCAGCTCGGCAAAAGGAATCGGAGTACGGTCGTGACTCGACGTTCCAGCCCCAGGAGTGGCAGTCCATGAAGATGTTTGGGTTGTTGGAAATGAACGGGCGAGGAATCTGGGGTACATGGATTATGTACGGCATCGTGGGTGATTCGTGGGTCGGTTTTGGGCGTGTAATGTTGAAAAGTGTATTGTTGGATGACTGACTGTGGAAACGGCGTTGGTTGGTTGAGGGGTTTGAGAAACTTGGTGCTTGTGAGTCGGGGAAAGTAGAGAGGGGTATGAAAATTGAAGATCAAAATAGCGGTGAAATTCAATGGGAGTGCAGAGCCTAGTTTGGTGTTGTGGAGTCACGATGTTTGTATCCACTGTACTATGGTTCCTTGGATGTCTAGATTGCGCCGGCGCGGTTTGGAGGTCAAGTAGATGTGAATTTGGGCGAACGACGCTGGAAAGTAAGGAGTTCAAGTAAAGCAACTGAGCCTTCTTGAGTGGTCGAAAAGCCCAAACAACAGTGCGACTGATGTTGTAGAAGAGTGACTTGGCATCGTGAAAGGCTCCCCATGCTACCCGCACCCGAGACACTCGAGCCCCTACCAAGAGGTGGTCAATGGGACTTGATAGGTCGTTATGTTTGCGTGAGCTGGACATCTGAAATCGATAGATCGTGACATTGAAGAAGCAATGCCCGAGATGGTGGCTGGGGATGTGGCTTGTTCATAACTCCGTGCTCTCGTGCGTCACCACCATGGCTTTCTGCTTTTCGGGAAAGAGAAGGTGCACGGTTGAGATGCTCTATGGCTCGATGATTCGCGACACGACACGATCATCGCCAATCGTGATGCTCGGGAATGTCATGGAAGGTGAACAGATGGTGGGGTTGAAGGAAAGCGCGATGCTTCTCCAGGCTTGGCATGACTCCATCCCACATTTTGTGAGCCCCTCCATAGCTTCGACAAGACCGCCGACAAGCAAGACGATACAATAACCCCCGCCATGGCCACCGACTCGGACAAGAAGCCGCTGCCGGCATTCGACATTGTGTCGACATATCGCCGGATCCTCAATGACGACCCCGAGCTCACCATGCCCGTCGCAGCCATCGAGGCACTCGTCGAAGCCATTGCCCAGAGCTCCGTGTCGACCGTCGCCGAGACACTGGACCTGCTCGAACGCCACACGGCTGCGCTGAAGGCCTCGATAGCCAACCCCATCTCGCTCTCTGCCGGCACGGACCTCTTCCAACGCTACCTCATCACCACCCTTAACCGCCCCGCGAGCCTGAACCTGGGCCCCGACGACGATTTCCGCGCGATTCGCAACCACCTTCTCTCCAACGGCAAGCTCTTTGTTGAACGCGCCAAGCAGAGCAGGGAGAAGATTGCGAGCTTCGGCAAGCACTTCATCCGCGATGGCGCCGTCGTGCTCACAAACGGCGGCTCCAGAGTCGTGGGCGCCCTGCTGAGGAGGGCCGCCGAGTCGAGCACCATTCGCTTCAAGGTCATCTACGTGCTCCCTCCGTCCAGCTCCTCCGACTCCAACGAAGGCCACCAGACTGTCGCCGACTTGCGCGCTCACAACGTCCCCGTTGCCGCCATCAACGACTCGGCAGTCGCATACTCGTTGGGCAAGGTCGACATGGTTATTGTGGGCGCAGAGGGAGTCGTCGAGAACGGCGGCATCATCTCGCGCATGGGCACATATCAGATGGGTCTGCTGGCCAAGAGTAAGGGGAAGCCTTTCTACGTGGTTGCTGAGAGCCACAAGTTCGTCAGACTGTACCCCTTGAGCCAGTTCGACCTGCCCATCGAGCAAAAAGTGCTCGACTTCAAGGTCACAGATGATGCCAAGGCTAAGACTAAGAGTGGAGAACAGAAGGATGCTGTGGATGAGGGTATTGCGGACATGAACACAAAGCCCAAAAAGTGCTTAGGGCTCGAGGCTCATGATGCAGTAGACTTTACGGTACGTTCAATGCTGGCAGCACATAGAGCCAACTTCTAACACTGCTTGTAGCCTCCCGATCTGATCTCAGGTATCATCACCGAGTCTGGCGTTCTCACCCCTTCTGCCGTGTCGGAAGAGCTGATCAAGATTTGGTTCTGAGATTACCATCACCATAAACCCTTGACACGTTCTGAATATATATTTGACTAGTCATTGAATGCCTGCGAGAGGCTGCTCGGTCTTTGTGATCACGACTCGTATGAGCACCAGGCCTATCGTTTGATGCGATGCCCTTTGGTGCCCGAGCATTCGACACTTCACACTAAGCGCACTAGCAGTGCCGAGAAGAAGAAGAGCCACGCATGGAATGGTGACGCGTTGGAGCTGGAACATTCTTGTGAACGAGAAGGAGGGAAAACGGCGTGCAAACGATCGAAGAGGGAAGTAGCAAGACGGCGCGTTTGCGAACAATGATACCCAATATACTTCTCTTCAATGCAGCAAACTCAACATTCAAGAGTACCGTCAGCGTATCATCACTGCGAGATATGCTTCACTAATATACACGATTCCCCACGACAACCTCAGGATCCTCGAGCGACGCCTAAGCACCAAGACAAGGCAGCGCAATATGCCCTTTGTGATCCGGCCACCATCCTTCTCTGCCGACTGTTCCGATCTAATCCCCATCACAAACCCTGACGATGACGAGAAGTCAATGTTGCGCGACCTGTGGGGCTGGGGATGGGATGTCACACAATGCGAACTCGACGATGACGAATACGTCGACGCGTTGCGAGAGTTGAGGTGGAGTTTGGAGAAGCACCGGCAGGGCGATTTGGTGGGTGAGGAAGGTGGACGAACCTTGAAGCAGATATGGGCTAGGGAGGGGAAGAAGAGCGTGCGTGTGACTGGGGAGGGAGATATACATGGTGTTGAGGAGGCGGATAGGGAAGGGTGTAGTGGTGCCGGTGCCGGTGCCGGTGCTGAACTCGACAGAGAGGAGTATGTATACGATGACGAGTGGGAGAACGAATCCTTATACGACGTCTCCCAGGAGAAACAAGCACCCATACAAAACCATCCGCCTACCATCGACCCCGAAATTGCCCGTCAACAAGACTTCTTCTCGCGTCTCCGCCACGGCGAACAGCTGGTACGATCACACATCCAAAAGACGCAACGACTCTCGCAGGATCCCGGACGAGACTTATACCATCAGAACGAGATTGAACATCCGATCCGCATTTCAAACCCCCTAGCCAAATACTACAAGTACCCAAGACCAAGTATCATCAAGACGAACATCTCGCCCTCGAAACCCTCGCCCTACATACCGCGCTATGTATACAAGTCCCGTGCGCCTCGCCCCAAGCCCAAACATCCATCCTCCCAACCAACAATGTGCTGCTACACATTCCGGCTCCACCGACCGCGCCCCCGAACAGCGTCGCAGAAGGCAGGCCGGAGAGTCTCCACCGCACAACCCCGCCCCGCAACCCAAATACCCGCTCACTACTTCTCTCCTCCACAGTCCTCCGCGCCATACACACGCCAGCAAATTCCCCTTCTCCCCACCGCCCCATACGAACTAGACATCCAGTACACACTCCTCTTCCCAAACGAACATCGCACCGTGCAGGAATACTTGCGTTCGTACCGCCCCATGGTGCGGGCCGAGCATGCTACTGCCCCGCCATTGGAGCGTGCGGGGCTTGGCGAGGATCCGTATGGGTGGCTTGCGTGGGATGGGCAGAGGGAGAGGGAGAGGGAACGGGAGAGGGTTGTGGAGGAGAGGATGAATAGGGTGAGGGGGAAGAGTGGGAGGGTGCTTAGAAAGGAGAGATAGGGGGTTAGGGGTGAGGTGTGGAGGGCATGTGGGATATTTGGTTCTTTGATACTGTACGTTCGGTGAGATTTGTATTTGTAAGGCCACTGCTTCGTGGATAGGTTGATTTTGGCTGGTGGTTTACGGGCGAGGCGTGCTTGCGTTTTTATTGCTTGGCTTTGTTCTCGCGTACTGGGTAGATGGAGTTGCTTTGGATATGTATCACTGTAGGATGTTGGAGTTATGTCTTCCTGTCGCGTAGAGGATATATAGGACTCTGGCTGAGCAGCTCTGAATCGGTCGATCGGTATTTTGCTGCTCGACACTTCTTGTACAGTTTGCTGTCCGCTATAGGACTGTCTTTCACGCTATCATCTTTCCTGAGATTCTGTGTTTGAAATGAGGATACACAAATTCCGATACAACGTTGAAGAAATGGGAAATACACTTTGAGTTTGTTAAGTAGTAGGAGGTTTGGCTGTGTAATTTAGCAGTGAGCAGGGCGAGTGGTGATGACGCGCCCGCTACTTAGGGCGTGTTCCTGTGTGAGTAAGTCGGATTGTAATAACTGGCATTGATATCTCTCTTGCAGGGAATCTTGGCTCTAGCGGGAATCTCGAAGAAGGGTAAGGTTGTAGCGAGTGGGGGAACGTGTGGAGTTACACTTGCGAGAGGAGGAGTTTAGACTGGGGGTTGATGTCGGGAAGTGGAGAAGATGGTGCTGTCAAGCCTCGCCTACTACGGTCGTGCTTCCTGGCTCTCAACCACCCGAGAATAGACACATTGCAGCCACAAGACAAGGGCTTAATGACTGCGCCATATCCAGGGCGGGTTTTTATTGGCCGCTAGAGCTGGGTAGTCAAAAGCATACCAAGCTCAACATGCACTTCAACTCTTAACAGCCGGATATCTGTCCACCGGTGAACACTCCCCAGTATTTGCCACGCACGCCCTTGAAACAACTTCTAACCCCTCTCTAATCCTATCTTGATAAAGTGTTATGCCAATGACATAGCGCCTGCTGGAATACAGGGAGATGAGGAAATGGCCCCCATTGCGATAGAGATTGCCCACGTATCTGAAACAAATCCTTCTACAAACCACCTCAGCCTTGAGTTACTTTTGTGAGGGGCTCAATTTGACGCACCTTGCACACGAAACCGTGGCTTATGCACCGAGCGCGCATGGTACTAACTTTCGGATACATGCCCGTTCGTGCATCGAACCGAGCCGCTTTGCGGCGCAGCAGCAACACTGCCCTGGGAACGACCCTACAGGGTTTTGGAATGACTGCCTATAAACAGGAAAACCTCTTCTCTTGCTGCTGTGTACGATATATCAACTTTTCCTCCATTTTATTTTAGATACCACTTCACCATCGCGATTCCATCATTATGCCTCGCCGAAGCTCCCTCATTGTTCCCTTGGCTCAGCCTACCAGCACGCATAGGAGGCGAAGTGCAAACGCTCGGCTGATTACCTCTGTCCAAACGCCAAAGACACTTCAAACACCTGGATCGTCGTCAAGTCAGCCAATATCAATACCTTCAGATAGCGAAAATGATGAAGAGGATGATGACGATGATACGATATCCATTCGCCAGAAATCAAACACTAAAAAATCACGAAGTGATACATCGCAACCACGACCCAGCTCAGGAAGGACTCCGCGCTCTGGGCAGCCAACAACACCTGAACGTGCCCGGCCTGCACCTGCTAGACATGCCGCAACTGATCCCGGAATCCTCCAGAGTGCCAGGCGAAGCGAATTCAATGGCAGTCCAATATCGTACCCGCGGATATATTGGCCTTACTGTAAATTTATGGCTTACGCCTATTCTGGGGCGATGCGTAACCATCAGAAGACATGTGACGCTTGTCTGGAAAAGGAAGAGATGTTGAAGGAAGACAAGCGCGAAGAAGAAGAAAATCAACCAAAGGAAGAGCCTGCAGTACACACGCCGCGAGAGAGCGCGACAGAAATGACCCATGATGATGATGATAACACCCGCGGCGATGAAACTGATGAGAGAGATTTACAAGTGAAGGATACGAAAAAGGACAACAAGATATCTGCACAACTACTGCACAACCGGCTGATTGTGTTAGCAAAGGAAAGCCTTACAAAAAAGGAGGATAAGGGTTACATCTACATCTTCCGGGACCCCCAAAAGAAAGGTCTCTTAAAGATTGGGCATACGACGAATGTCAACAAACGTGGGAAACAACACGAGAAATGCGGACTGAAATTGGACTGGGTCCATATCTCAGGAGGTGTAAAATTAGTAAAACGTGCTGAACAGCTGGTCAAACTCGACATGAAGCATCTATGCAGACCCTGGAAGTGCTCTATTTGCTGCCAAAAACATGGAGAATGGTTCGAGATCGAGGAAGAAAAGGCGAAGGGTATTATGAACCGATGGGTCAAGTGGATCAATGAACGGGATCCTTACCAGGAGGATTTGACTCTAGACCCCATATGGAAGTTTCTGATGGATTATGGCAGGATGCCTCAGCGAGAGATTGGACACAACGATCATGAAGCTCGGCAGCTTCACTGGATCTGGGTCTTGTCACAGCCCACTTCCAGCGACAAGAGACGTTTCGAGGAACACAAGAACAGCAGGAGGCACGATGACAGCGAGGCGCAAAGTACTATCCACCAGCATCGTGACAGCGACAAGTCAGTCCAGCAGCACGCTCCCAAGTACCAGGAGACCATGACAGCTCCATCGGACTCGGCAGGGATAGGGCATGTTATTCGTACATTAGCGGATGGGGGGCAAGATGTCAAACTCACGATACGGATCGAGATTAAGGGAAACTCTTCGACTAGTCGGATGCCACAGGGCTGAAGCTGTCTCTTGGCTTAGGATTGTTCTTGTCTCATGAAGATTCGAACTTGGTGCTATGAGGGTATGGGTATGCAAAGTTGATGCGATGTTTTCTTGTTATTTCTATCCCTTTCACATTGTCATCAGCATCTACAACCTTCTACTTCACGGTTCTATTTTATGGCGGATTTTCTTTGCTCAGGTTTGCGTTGAAGTCACTCCATCCTGCACGATAGCGTACTCTCCTTTGCTTTATGGTACTACAATCTCGATACGAAATGATGTCTGATAGAAACCAATTGATAAGATTTCACTTCGAACAGTTCACTTTAACTTCGGAGAGGAGATTATTCGTCCGATCGTATACCTTGGCGTGGATCAAAGCTTGCCTCCCATCAAGCTGTCAATTCCTAAGATCAGGTGCAGCTAAGCAGCGTAACAAAACCATAATTTCCAATGTAGTCTCCCCCAGGTCTAGTTGAACCATTGTACAAAATTCGTTTCAACATAGGTACACCATACTACATGCGGATCTGGATTCGTTTGATGTTTTGATCCCTTCGTGTCAAGCATGTGACGGGAGGACACTACGGTCAATGAGCCCCCTGTACCGGGCGGGGGCGCCCTAGTACCGGGGGGCGTATCACCCTCTAGTACTGATCTACTCCCCAGTACTGGGGGGCCTATCTACCTATACTGGGAGATCTACCCCCCTGAACCTCTAATTACTTGTAATTAATATATTGTAGAGGGCAATAGATCCCCTGCTACTAGGGGGTACCCTTATTAGATCTTTTAGCTACACTCTATATCTAATTAATTTACTCTTACTTACTTAGTCTTGTAAGGGCTGAAAACTATACTTTACTTGCTAAAATTTATCCTACTAAACCTTAATAATATGCCCTAAAAATGCTAGAATACCTGCTAAAGTAAGGATTTTACCCTAATAACTAATTCTAATAATAGAATTCCTTCGTAGGTAATAAATACTAATAAAGGTAGTAATGGGTGGGCACGGTAGGTAGGTATAGTAGGGTATAGCGTAGCTACCTAATTTGTATATAAGGATATGTGCTTATATAGACTAAGGAGATGAATTGGAAGGCCTCGAGGTGCGAAGGATCTTTATGTGCTGGCTCACCCACATGGTGAGCTAATTTACTTCACACCGCTGCAAGAGTTTTCACGACCCAGCCATGGTTCACGATACAATCCAGGGTTCACGACCGAACCAAACTTCAACCAACGGCTGCCTGGGCTCTCGAATACGCGTCCGCACCGGTACATTAAGCAGCTAGTCGTCAAAGAGACGGTGTTCTCGTCAGCTCTCTGTTACTATTACTGTGTACTTTAACTGATGTTTACTGTGTAAAAAGGGGCTGGGTAATAGCTTCTATACTGAGTTACTATATTAGATTCTTACTGTGTTGCGTCTATCTGCTTGTACTAGAAGCATGAATACGCTATAAACCTAAAATAATAATATAGACTAATTAGAAGGCAACATTTAAGCTTTCTATCCCCCTAAAGAAGAACAGAAACAGCGTCCGTACTGGGGGATAGCCATCCCCCTGCAACCGGGGGCTCATTGACCGTAGTGGAGACAGGTAAAGAGACTCCAGACAGTGCTAAGTCATGCCATAATAGGCTTCGATGCAAGGCGGATAAGGATTAGTATATAGGTTCGAGTCGATGTTCTTGTGAGTAGTAGTTTTGAAACATACCTGGATCTTGTTAGGATTGTTATTGACTTTTGAGTTGTATCGTATGTCCAATAATCGGATTATATCGAAGGTCGAATCACGGTTCTAGATCAAGTCTTATTTGTGCATAGCTAGCAATAAGAGACTATCCCATGGTCCGCTGGAATAGACCTGCGGATTTCTGCCAATATAATCGTAAAGTCTGAAGAACATCAAAATCAAAACTTTACACAAAAGAAACTTCGAGCATCACACTGACTTGCCGATGCGATCTGATTGGCTAACAGTCGGGCTGAAATCCATAGGTTTAACGAGCCTGTTCATGGGACACAGATAGAGCGCTAGGTGCATGGCATTCCGTTTTACCGCCGAGGAACGCTCCGACTGTCAACACCGCATCGATCACAATCTGCAATGTCCATCCACAAACACTAGAAACTCACAGCCTTTTTTCTCATTCCATTCATCACATTGATTAAGCACTATCCTCTTCATCATCGTCATGGCACCTCTTGGCATTGCACTTGGTCTCCGTGCTGCCCCCTCAGCGACGAATATCCCGAATTATGCGCCTGCTTTTCTGTCCTTCCATTTCATCTGGGCATACGGAGTTCTCTCCTCTCGCACTCTGAAGCAATGGTACGGCATCGACCACAACGAATCTCCTAGATATGATCTGGACAAGTACGGCAATGATGCAGTAAAGTCTGGTCAGATCACTCAAAAACAACTGGATATGCTGCGTCGCAACGAATCTGCGCATGCCAACGCCGTAGAGAATTACGCGTTCTTCGTGGGAGCTATCGGGTTCGCTAGTCTTGCTGGAGTCGACCGACGTCTTATCAATCGGGCTGGCCTGACGTACACGCTGGCTCGGGTTGCGTACGGCTTTGTATACATCCTTATCGAAGACCGACGTTGGAGCCAGCTCAGGGGCATCACTTGGTGGATCGGCAACTGCAGTTGCCTCTATCTTCTCTGGGAAGCGGGTTCCAAGCTCAACGAGACAGTATCGCCTTGAGAACGGGCATGCGTCTCATGAAAATGAGGGGCGCGAAGCAGCTGTAGAAGAGCTAAGTTGTAGGCAGAGGTTTGCTACTAGTTGGTTTGATATACCAGAACTATCGTAATCAACACGAAAAGATATCGGCCATACTACTTGCTGGGTAGCAACCCTTGCACAAGTCTCTCTATGTTTGCTGACAGATGATCCGCAAGTTGTACGGCCAGTCCTGCAGAGAACAGCGTCGCGCTATACTTCAGCTCGATGTACAAGCTCCCATCCCTCTGGTCTACTTCTATCTTTCTTTGCGACAACTTGTAAACTGGGTCCAAGATCAATCGACTTGTGAAGGTGTAGCTATTGTGGCATGGACTTTTCGTGAATGGCCGAAAGGGAAAGCTTACTTGACAGCAGATCATAACACGAAAAAGAACTCGTGCATTTCACATACGACCATAGGACGTTGACAACAAGGCTTCCCGTTCGCTCAGCCCTATTTAAGCAACGTACCGGCGGATTAGTAGCTGGGTAGGTGACTACTAGCGAATTCCCGCTGTTGTATGTATTATCGTTTTTGTTTTACAAAGTTTTCCATGTGGTCTGTGCGTCATGTAACTGAAGTGTGTCACATGACTGTACTGTTGTGCAAATAAACTACATATTGGTTTCCCTCAATGTCAGATACTTGCCTATTCGCTCTTGATCACACTGATGTATGTTTTTGTTGAAATCTCTTCTCCAAGCCCCAAGCGGTTGGGGTTGTTGCGGTAAGGTTGGCCGAGCTGTGTGACATCATGTGTCTCGGCATACGTGGAGTTAGACTTGGGACCGCCGCCCCAGCACGATAAGTCTCAAGGGATTCCAGAACATCTTAGTTTTAGATGGAGGGAGCGGAATGATGCTTGACGCGATATTAACTGCAGTCTAAGCATAACGGCGTTGAGCTTGAGAGAGATTCGCGCTGTAGTTCAGACGTTGTCTCCCTGCACTCCACCAATTTGCCGGATGCCGGATGCTGATCAGCATGCCAAGTGTTGAAATGACCCACAAGGCGCAAAGGCACTACGCTATGGCTGTGATGACGACGGGAACGCCGCTACCTCTGTGAAGGCTAAATCAAATAGATGGCGGTACGCCAAAGATATAAGACCTCGTCAGTGACCTGACAGGGTTGTTGGTGGTAACACAGCAACCATGCGCTTTCGCGAGAAGAGGCGTCGCGAACAAGATGAAGGGGACAACGTCGGCGAGAACATGCCGCCGGAAGTCGTTGGCCTGCGTGACCGCATCGTACATTTCACGTGGTACGTGTACATCTTTTCGAAGCCCAGCTTAACGACTCATGAGACGATATAGGCCTTGGTTTGCAGCAACGATGTCCACGGGAGCCCTTGCAGTCGTGTTAGGCAACACTCCAAATCGTTTCCGAGGACTGCAGACCATCGGCGAAATAGTGTTCATAGTCGACATTGTAATGTTTCTTCTCTTTAATGGATTGATGGCAACACGCTTCATCCTCATTCCCCGGAAGTTCACGGCTTCGCTTCATCACCCTGTCGAGGGACTTTTCTATGGCACATACTTCGTTTCGGCCGCCTTGATCTTGAACTGCTCGTACATATATGGCAATGGCAAAACCGGGCCGTGGCTCACGACCGCGCTTGGAATCTGCTTCTGGATTTACTGTGCCATTGCTTTCTGCGTCGGCGTAGCTCAATACTCCATGTTCTTCCGTCTTGAGCGCCTGAATGTAACGGACGCCGTGCCTGCGTGGATATTCCCAATATATCCCCTGTTGGTGGTTGGAACTCTAGCAGGTACCATACTACCAGCCCAACCAGAGCAGGCAAGCTGGGAAATCTTTATCGGAGGTATCATTCTTCAAGGACTTGCTTGGGTAGTGTCTTTTCTCATGTATGGTATCTACATGCAGCGCCTGATGACGGGTTGTTTACCTTCACCCTCTGTCCGTCCTGGCATGTATGTGTCGGTAGGACCAGCAGGTATGTCACTCCAATCTAGCGAAGGATTAACGTGCCTCAAAGTGATTCTAACAACACATAGGATACACTGCCGCAGGCCTAATCTCTCTCGCAAACCAAGCACCAACGTTCATCCCTGCAAACTTCTGGACAAACAACGCGATCCCAGACGGAGATGTTATCCGTATCATGGGCATTATGTCCGGTCTGTTCATCATTCTCTTCGCGTACTGGTTCTTCGCCATCACCACCGTTGCCGTCTTAGCAGGAGTCCGCAAGATGTCTTTCTCGTTGAACTGGTGGGCCTTCATCTTTCCAAACGCTGGACTCACTCTTGCAACCATTCAGGCTGCGAAAGCGTTGAAGAGCGATGTTTTAAATGGAGTTGCTAGCGCCCTGACCATTCTTCTGGTCATCATGTGGGTGGTCACAGCTATTGCCTGCATCCGTGCAGTTTACCTTGGGGATGTGATGTGGCCTGGTAAAGACGAAGACAAGACAATGAAGGAAATGGCTTGGGGATGGAAGGACATGAGGAAAAGCCCACACGCCCAAAAGATAGAGCCGTAAGCATGATATATTGGCCGCCTCTGTGGCATGATACAGCTCGTTTGAGTAGGTGAATTATCATTCCATTACACGCCTGTTTTGGACACCGCATCCAAAGCTTTATTGCCTAAAGGCACTGGAACCAATGATGCTCTCGTGCGTGGCACATTGTCTAGCGGCAATATCTCACGGACCTTCGCTGTTCGTCACAACGTTTGACAAGCGTGGTTTCGGCACCTGACGAACTCACTATAGACGGACGAATCCTGCGTATTGGTCCAACACACATCGGTACAATTGCTATATCGTAGTCTAACGATTTTGAGAGGCAGGAATAACCGCATCTTGTCAATCAGTCTCTTCGATCACAAGCGTTGCATATGGCGTCGGGTTACGAAGATAGTGTGGTCGCTGGAGGCCACATGAGCAAAATTTGATCTTGAAGATGGAATCGTCGGGTTCTCGGTATTGAGGTGGAAAAGGCGGAGAGTACTACAGTATTATAGTACACGTGGCAATTCGACATGTCCTAGGCGTAGAGGAGACGGGTATCGCCGATAGATGGTCTACAGCTGAGCGATCTGTCTGTTGGTTCTCCTGGAGAACGATGCATGACTTTATCAGTTTGAGGAAGGAAGGAGAAGGGAGGAGCGGAGGTGTCCGATAGCTAATGTGATCGGGACAAGGCCGATAGTACGATGGATAGGTCGAAGGTTTCGTATCGCGGGTTCTTCATCGTCTGTGGGGTACCTTGGCAATCGAGTCGGGTGCTTGGTCTCATTTCCGACGGCTTGGTGATGCCATCACATCACAGGATGCGGAGATTTCGAGTGGAAAAGCTTAGTTTCCACCCTCTGCCTATCACCAGGCTGCATTCAGCCGATGTATGGGTGACGCAGTGCCCTGTTGGCGCTTTTTCCAATACATAATGCCAACCCTACTGTCCCTACCGCGAATCGAACGCACACAATCGGACCATGTGCTGCTTATATGCTGTGCAACTTCTATTGACAGCACGGTCGTGGTTCCACATTGTTGCTCCATCAGAGCCCGACAACTAGGTAGGTTCAAATTTTTCATTGAGAGAAGCAGGATATGCCACGGCCCGACAAACCTCCATCAAAGAACTCTCGGTCGTTCGTCGGCGGAGCCCCAGCTGCATGCATACCGTTGGGAAATCCACAATGAGCTCATCACACTATCACACGGCCCCTCACCACCAAAAACTTTTACACCATCGATTATCGTGAAGACTAGCCTTGTGAGATGGGGATGATATCTACGCTTCAGCTTCAGCTATCTATTGTTCATATTTCCGAGACAGCTCAGCTGACCGTCGATCCTCGAATTAGGTAACCATCGCACAAACATCGCCCATGGGTTCCTAACGCCGAATCCTCCGGTTGACTCAACCCGTCTCCTTTGTGCAACGATAACGTACGTTTAGCAGAGATCTAGACTCCGCTTTCTCCACTTTCTTATGCCCTTGGCTGATCTAAACCATGTGCAGCCTGGTCTTCCTGGCGCTTGGCCATCCCGCTGGCCCCGCACTCGTCACATACGGCGCGTCAAGCTTCTTATCGCCGGGCTCTTAGTCGTAAGAGACGGAACTCTCGCCACGCGTCCGTGGGCCGTGCTGCGAATCAGCTTTCATTTTGGGCTGCAGAGAGCAGGGGTATCGCCTCTTTCGTCCAATTATAGTCCGGGTCCGTTAGCTGCCTTGGGTACGATGACCGATACGGTTTAGGGTCTGGGGTTAGGGTTTTGGCTTGCTTGGTGGTGGAAAGTGTGATGTTGTGATTGTGCAGGGGGATGCGATGGGGATAGGAATTTGGGGAGTTTGGGAGACGTATATAGGTAGGATGGATTCCCCACCTAAATTGAAGGACACAGACTTTCCAATTCGTGACTCGAGTAACAACAAATCCGTTACTTGTCTACACAGTCATCATCAATCTCAATACAATTACATCCTTCAACCAGCCAACCAACCAAAATGTCTTCCCCAGCTACCCAATACGTATACATCCCCAACCTCGTCGGCCGTCAGATGCTCCGTATTCCCGTCGAGGAAGTCGAAGCCGAGGAAATTATCTCTTCCGAGGACCTCATCTCCATGACCAAGTCCACCACGACCTCGCAACCCATCACCATGAAGTCCACTTCGACATACTCACGCGACTCCTCCCCATCCCCAAGCATGTCCAGCGTGTCAAGCTATGAGGAGTGATGAACCCCACCACCAACCGAGGCGGCAGCTATGTGGACCCGATTGCGCAATGCGAGGGACGCAACACAGCGACGTACCTTTTCCATCTAAAAATAGTATCTTGTTGAGGAGGGGAGCCGAAGGGGGTGACGGACGGACGGCACGCCGAGCAACATAAATCGAGAGTCGAGAAGACCTGTTGACGCAACTGCGGAACCGATTTGGCCTTGACGGAGGGACGATTCGCGGCCTAGGAGTGGAGGACATATCGGTTCGACGGATTCTCGGAAGCATTATCGATGCGTTTCGAGGGTGGGGAACTTTTGGGCATCGAAGTGGAGGGGCACGCGTATGCTCGACGGTTGATCGTTCTCGAGTGGGGGATTGTTGTTTGGTGATCTTTTCGAAAAGTTTTGCGCTATACCCAGTCATACATAGTAATCGTGGTCATTAATTGGATCTTATCTATCATCAAACGCATGTGACTCTTGCAAGTGTGAACGCGTCGGGCATCATTGTCTTGAGGCATTACCTCCTTCACCACTACATGAGAGCTACGAATCTCGGTTCTTCGTCGGCTGGAAGTTTATCTGTAATTATGTTGATAGCTTTGGATGTGTGATGAGGAGATGCTTGGGCTCAGCAGGGTCGGTAACACATCACTTGAACAGCACTCCCCATTGTCATGAATATGAAAACGACAACTGTAAGAAGTGGTGTGTAAAACTGTGGGACTACTTCCCTAGGAGGCCCCTCCAATCGACCCCCTGAGATAGACAAGAGGCTGTCTGACATGCCTGACGCACTGCGCAACATCACGGTAAAACCTGCCAGGAAGAAACCCAATCAGTCCCCCGCAATATTGACCATCGGCATTGTATTATTCCCGTACCAAGCATACGACCAGTAGAGATGATGAGATACTGTGTTCAGCGAGGTGAGAAAATGGATCAGGTATTTGCCATGATACACACTCATCTCACTCGATATTTTCGTCCGGTTTCAGCTACCCGATCATATTATTCATACAACACAAACTCAGTTGATCTACCTTAACATGATTCAATTGCCCGTAGTTGGGTAGCATCTTCCCCAGCCTCTAAACCCACCTTCCCTATGTGTATTCAGCTCTTCCGGCGTATACTGTGCCCCAAACCCCCTCCACAACCCATGACACCACGGATCGGCCACAAGCTGACGAACAGGCTCCACCCCTCATTGTCAGACGGGCTTTAAGCGGAGACAAGTAAGCTGAAACCAAGCAAAGCGCGCGATGCGTTCAGCCACGGGCCGAAGAGTGGGCCTTGGGAGGCCCTCCTCAGCTGAGAGGGAAAAGATACATACGTGTCTGGTACAGCGGCGCAGTACTCTGTACGCGGAGGATTTTATTAGCATGTGACTGGGGTCTGATTTCGGGTCGCACGCTTGCCAATGAGTTGTAATGGTACTTTGTTGTTGTTGACGATGCCCGGAAATTTGAACGCCACGCGCGCGCGTAGACGTGTCGCGAAATTTGTTTATGGAGATGGGCAGGGTAGACGAAATTAAGATAGTTGCAATTTCGCTGAGTAGTTCCATAATAATGTAGCAATTATAGAATTGGTCTCAGCATGGGACTCAGCCCAGTGTCAGCGGTAAATGTGGAGAATACGAAGTGTGAGGCGCGTCACGTCGCGGATTTAATACGGATACGACAATGAGACACGCCATGATTTGCCTACCCGGCTGGAATCACATCGTTCGTTGGATCTCAGAATGTCGACAAACTACAGAATCGAAAGAAGAGTAGGCTTGATGTTGAAAATGTTTTGTGATGATAGTTGCTCAAATTGACATATTACTTAGTCTACTTAGCTATGTGTTTGCGCCATGTGACGATGCAGTGCTTCTATAACAAAAGAAATCGTGATATCGTTAACCAAAACTCCAACAAAATAAAAATCGAATGGACCAACTGGTCCAATAGCATAGCCATGCTGATCGTCTAAACGCCGCTCCATGCGATGAGATATGCTTCTAGACCAACGTCTTATGCCAACACAAAGAAACCGACCATTGCAGCCGTGATGGCGCTGGTCCAAGCCGCGATACCGGCACGACCAGCACTCAGCTGTCCAGCACTGTTCTTCCTCGATTGAGTGCCATCAGGCGTAAGCACAACATTAGTGCCCAGTTGTGATCCAAGGTTGGCGACCACAGCCTGTGAGTCGCGTACGGGGATCGAGAGTTTGCCGGAATCATCTGTAGTCATTTTGTTGACAGTACTGTCAACCACGCTGGATTCGCCCGTTGTATCAGAGTATGTCATGCCGTTCCAGGTCGTTCCCGATTGAGAGTCTGCGCCATCGGCTGTAAGATATGAGAGATAGACATCCTTGTTCTTGTTGTCAGAACCAAAGTTGACGTTGAAGGTGAAGCTGTTCTTGTCACTCTCTGAGGCGTTCGCAGTTTGGCCGTTAATCAGGACGACGGCTTGTAGGGTATCATGGGCGTATGCGCTGTATGCGCGGATGTAGCCTGAGTACGACGAGCCTACGCCGCTTGTAGACATGGTCGAAATTTGAGTCGTTCCATTTCCGTTGCCGATGATCTGCGCAATGGCTGCGTTCGCGTAGTACATTGGTCGCACAAAGGGGTCCCTGTTGTACATGGAGACAGGCTGCCACGCGCTGGCGTTCGAGTTGTCGGTCATGTGCATTTGGACGGATGAGACACCCAAAGACGCAGTGTAGAGATAGAAATTGAGAGTCCAAAGAGAAGCGCCGAATGTGTCACTGATACCGGATTTGCCAATGGGGCCCACAGAACTCATCTCACGTAGGACATACGGGAGACCGGTTTTGATGCCGATGGCAATCTGCTTCTCCCAGTACGCGAATTGCTTGTTTGTTAGATCGTAGTCCATGAGATCGTCGAGAATGACGGGTGTCTTGGTTACACCAATGACTAAAGAAGGTCAGCTGATTCAAATGTAGAGTTGTAAGTTCAGCTTACAGTAATAGTAATCGTGCTGATTCCATGCGTTCACGTAGGCGGTGCCATTCCTGCCATCCATTATCCCGTTGTTGACAAGCTGGTTGATTTCGAAAGTGGTTCCTATTGTCGAGGCGGTGGCTGCAGACTCAAAGAACGACGAGGGCATGCCCGCTGGCTGCAGCACGCGCTCATACACAACTTGGGCACGATCGAGGAACTCCTGGGTGTAGGCCTTGCCACTCCAAGTGGCGTTACGGAACTTGTTGGCTACCCAAAGATCTGGTTCGTTGCCGATCTCGAACGAGTACAGCTTCGTGTTCGTCAACCCATCTACAACAGCCTGGGCGGTTGCTACGATCTTGTCTTCCCAGTCCGACGCTTCGTATGCCAGGTTCAAGCCAAAGGTGACAGGCGTGTCCTTGGGGAATCTTTCGATAGCCTTGATGTATGAAGGTCCAATAACCATGGAGTCGGCCGCGATCGCACCCTGCGCCTTGGAAGCCACATTGGCCTCCCAGTTGTAAGCATTGTAACTTGTGTCGTATATCATATAATCTTGTGTATTTCCTCCGACCCGGATGTGTGGAGGTGCGCCGGAATAATCCGCCAGGTTCTGGAGCAGTTGTATGGAAAATTGGTTTGCAACATCACCGCCGGTAAAGGAGAGCAGATTAGAAGGCTCGATGCCAAAACCAGCGAACGAGGGGTCCAGATAATCCGACGCACTACCAGGGGCCGACACGGATGGGGAGAGCGATATTGATTGAGCGAGAGCTAGGCGTTGACGCGACAGCGACAGTACGGCAATACTAGTGGTACATAACGAGCGGAACATATTCGCCGCAGGCTTCTGGTAGCGGCCAGATATGCAGTCGGTAAGAAAAACAGTAAAGCACACAAGCGAGGGAGTCGGGAGTGGAGGGAAAAGGAGCAGATGAAGAAGTACAAGGAACGGCTCGGCGAGCTAGGTACTGTCAACAGAATGCACATGCGTCGTCACTATTTTCCGCCGGCGCCACGCCGTCGCTGGAAGCTGCGGATGCGGTCTGGGTCCTCGGGTGGAGAGTGACATCATCATCAAAGTAGTTAGTTCCTTGCCATCGCTTTTCTGCGACGAGCAACGCACTGGTGTGCCCGCTCTGAAACGCGCGTGTGGGAGCGCGAGGGTTCGGTTTTCGATGATTACCAATGAAAGCCTTAGCTGCTTTTGGTCCAAATGGCGCCTCCTCATGCAGCGCTACGATCGATGTGACCGTGGTTAAATGGGGCTAGCTAATATTAGACGCTGATCATCATCGAATAAAGCTTGTTCTCGCAAAATCCTGTCTTTGAGCTCCATCCAGGTTCATCGCAATTTCATGACGACTCTATCCATTGTTTCCGGTTGTCCTCTCCGTCTGCTGCCATTGAGGCCGCTGTTGCTTTTACTAACAACGTTCTGCGATCTGCATGTCCATGTCACAACACATGATCGTCGTGCCCGCCATCTACCCGCCATCTCGCTACCCGCCACACGTGGCAGGGACTTATCGTCAGCCAGCCTGCAAAGGCTTCCCCAGCCCTCGAACGATAATGCACGCTGTTTGTGAGGTCTCGATATGGCGTTTGTCGCGCTTTTGGTATCTATCGGCTTGACAAGAGACAAAGATACCCAACTACCAGACCGTTTGATTGGCCCTGCTAGACAGGATTGTCAGCCGAAAGCGACACACCATCATGACCAACTTCAAACGACAGGGACGGCCACCATGATGGTGTGGTGGTGATAACAAGGCGTGGGACGTCGTTGTCCTTGTTAAGGTAGGTTGTTCACACAGTAGCAAGGATACACCATACCTCTCCGCAGGACTTATTCGGGCATGTGTAGAATCCTGTTTGTTCTTTCTCTGACGCCTACTCCCACCCCGCTTCCCGCTCGCCACCCTGCTTCGTAGTCACCACGTTGGTGGCTTGCGTAATACCAGTACTTTGCCTAGGCGCGTTGAGCGCACAAGTACTTGATATCCGTATTGTAGTCCCCCTACCAAGTTTCCCAGTGTAAGTGTTGTAGTAGTCAGGGTTGAGATCGCGATCGAGTTTTCAAGCCTTTGCGTGGTCGGCTAGTGTTGGTAGCGACTGTCATAACGCTGCAGATACGATACAGGGTATTTGGAAGCCCGACAGGATGTAGTAGGCACCGTTCGAAACTAAGTGAATTGCCCTGATTTACGTCGGTACTCCAAGCCCGAGATATCCGATGGCAACACGTTGTACTGCGACTTCGGCTATGCTGGCGATATCCACTCCACCACGTCATTCGAAGTTTCCACAGGCCATTGCCTGTTCCTTATACCCGGAGCCAGAGTTTGGCAAAAGGCGCGCTTGGTGAGAGTTGGGGTACGTGGTAAGAAGCATGTTCGTCGAGGTACGGTTGGATGTAAATTCGGTTCGTACGATAGTTGCACGCCGACGAAAGGATGCGTTGATTCGAGCAAGAAGTCTGCAGAACCTCGTTTAGGTCTGCGACGTTTGTTGCAAAGAGTGCTCGCTTGGATGCTATCGCAAGTCAGATCACATACTTTGGTGGAATCGAAGAATGACAAGGTAACAAAGATGGATGAGATGTGTATGCAGAAAACAATCGAGACGTGTTTGTAGTAAGCAGAGTTTCCCCTTATATGGCCTCACCCATGCTCAATAAAATGCACATCGACTGTTCAACGGCCCGTCACAAGTCCATAACGATGTTCTGGTACCCAGGGTGTGCTTTCCCGGTTCGCCACCTTGTATATTGCACCTGCAGTTTCCAGCAGGTAAGGAGCGCTCGTATCCCTATCCAGCCAATAATCTTTATCCCGAGAACCTAGCTTGAATCATTCGAAGGTCTCGGGAACACAGTACAAAGAATTTTGGTGTTCCCCGCTCAGCCTTGATGTCTAGACCATGGATAAGAGGCTCCTGCCGTTGAGTTTTTGTTACTCGAGTTTGTTGCAACCCTGAAGAGATGGTATTGTTGCGCTGGAGGTTTTCCGAGAAGCCAGTCCCATATTGTGTGATTGATGGTTGTGTTGTCGTAGGTGATTAATCGATGGTTGTGTCAACAGGGAGCAAAAACTTGTGATACTACGACTCGCGATCCAACAAGTGTCAAGGCGAGTAGATTTACTACGTCTAGACTTTCGGGGTCGTGCTGATTGCAGCTGGAATCTGCTGATGTTTCAATACCAGAATGTCGGTGAATCTACGTTCTACGGAAGATCTATCATGCATATTTCCCCTTTGAGCTTGGCGCGGGGTCCGCTGTTTCGGTCATATTCATGCCAAGTTCTCCGCCAAGTTCCAATTCACTGAGCTTATCTTCTGAGCTCGAGTATATCCCGCTACACAGCACTGTCTATCACACCCACTACATCACTGGAAACGTCATGATTACCGTGTCGATATGTTGGTTCAGCCACCGTTCCTCCAGAGTGATTACCAGGACCCCATCTGACGGCTGAAGTCTTGGACACGATTAGAATGTGTACTGCCAAGTATGTCGCCAAGTGTTCCATAGGGAAGCTTGAAATTAAAGTGGTTCTAACGTTTCCCTACGAGGCTGACCGTAAGTCTAGAGCCTCTCCTCTTTGGGCTTGGGAAACTTCTTTCGAGTCAGTGAGATGTAGGTGTAGTCCCCCCTGACTGGGGTCAACAACGTTCTTCGGTGAGCGTGACCAGTAAGTCCATACAGCATGATGTCAGGTCATGATTGCTGCATGAGCTCCTGGCTCCTTGATTGTACCAACCTTCCATGTCTTTGATTGTCTTCACTATCTTTGTAACAGTCATATCTTTTTCCTGCAGGTGTGGAAACACAGCTGTCAGGGCGGCTGTTGGAGGCGTTGTGTAAGGCTTACTTTCTGAAACATCTTGGCGTGTCCGGTAAACCTGTCCAGACTACACAATAGTTTGACAGGCGATTTCCATTGGACGGCTGCTTTCAAACGGGACGTTGAAACTGCCACAGCACTGATTTTGTACAGGTGCATGAATAAGTGAGATACGCGAGTACGGTCGGGTAGCATTAGCACGACGGAGGAAATGATCTTGGCGAGGTCCAAAGAGATGTGCTTGTCTCGCTTTGGTTGCGAGAGCGAGAACGTGGTCGTTTCAGCCAAGCTCTCGTACATTTTTCCGAAAAAGTAGTGCCGGTACACCGTTCTGTTTGAAGCCTAACGTGACCCCATGCTCCATTGTGACAAACAAATGACTTCAGCACTGAGTATGATGGATTGTATAAAGAGGAGGACAGACGCCTCATTGGAAAAGCATCTCACTCTCACTCTCATTCATTACATTCTTTAGTCTGCTTTACGCATTCAATTTTTGTTTCCAACACTCACTACATTCATTCAGCCTCTTTATCAAGTATATTACTTTCGTCTTTCAAACTTTCGATCCATCAACAACCGTCAAAATGAAGTTGTGAGTTGTCCCAACCCCATACATGAAGAGTTTGAACTGACTGAAGTCTCCACCAGCACTATCGTCGCTGCCATTGCTGCTTTCGTGGCCCCCATTGCTGCCGGCCCTGCTGCCGCTACTCCCAACGAGTTCTTCAGCTTGACCAAGCGCGCCACCCTTCCGGTTCCCGCTTCCAAGGGCTCCGTCACCCTCAAGGCTGCCCAGACCATCTCGGGCACCTTCGATGGAGGCTTGAAGACCTACGGCCGTGGCAAGTCCTGCACTGGACAGGCCGAGGGTGGTGATGCCGACGCTGTCTTCATCTTGGAGAACGGCGCCACCCTGAAGAACGCCATCATTGGCAAGGATCAGATCGAGGGTGTCCACTGCAAGGGCGCTTGCACCATCGAGAACGTCTGGTGGGTTGACGTTTGCGAGGACGCTCTCTCCCTCAAGGGCGACGGAAATGCCTTGATCAAGGGCGGAGGTGCTGCGGCCGCCAGCGACAAGGTCATCCAGCACAACGGCAAGGTGAATAACTCTACTGAACCATTTCCTTCGCAGCAGCAGCTAACTGGTCCCGAAAAGGGTACTGTGACAATTCAAGATTTCACCGTAATGGACTTCGGCAAGCTCTACCGTGCTTGCGGTAACTGCAAGAACTCTGTTTCTCGCAGCGTTGTCATCAAGAACGTCAAGGTAAGCACTATCTAAACATTGCACGACAGTACAGTAGCTAACATCGTGCTTAGGCCTACAACGGAAAGGTTCTTGCTGGCATCAACCCCAACTTCGGGTAAGTCGCTTTTTGAACTTCCTGTCCTTCTCATTGTGCTAATAACATCGCAGCGGAACTGCCACAATCACTGGAACATGTGCTACCAGTGTCAAGACCATCTGCGAGGAGTTCAAGGGCACCACCCCTGGCAACGAGCCCGCATCCGTCTCCAAGGGACCCTCCAACTACTGCAAGTACACCGCCTCGGCCATCAAGGCTTGCTAGACGGATACACCGGTATATCATACCAGCGATAAGATCAAACATTATTTTGATGTGGTGGAAACTCAGCTTTGAAAGCGAAATTTTGTACATATACTTCTAGATCACGTGAGCACATGCCGTGCATGTAATACACATTTAACCTTTTGCATCTTGATTATTTTCATCTAACTGTGCTACTGACAGACTGTCTATCTCGTTGTTGATATGCGAACAATTTATTTGGAGGTTCATGACTTTCACTAAGATATGGTCATATTTTCATTTCTCCTATATACCATCGAAGCTCTACTACTCACTGGTGTCTGCCTTTTCTCGAAAATTACGTTAAAGCCTTCACAAATATCTCGGGTGTATGCTAAGATACTACTGTTACTCTTCTACTTTCTCCTTCAGTGGTATGGCGAACACTTCTAAGAATCTCGAAATTATTGTGGTCGATGTAGTAGCTATTTCAAGTCCGGACTAGATAGAACCAGGGCCCAGAATCGGCCCGATATTAGATTCAAAGTTTCCATCATCGCAGTGGGAAACTTGCACTTTGCGACGTGCTAGTTAGGAGTATACCCCTCTACTGTTACACTCAACCACGGTAAGGGTTCAGACTGCGTTCAGTCCTCCATCTCCCGACACTCGGATTGTTCTCGTCATCCATGAAACCATTGACACACAACACATCAAAACCGAGCAGTGAAGTTTCAACTTGCCTGTGGACTTTGCCATCCAGAAGGAATCTCAAAGGGTAGTGGCCCAATCTCTGGGATGGCGATGTCCTCTGTCCTCTGCCCTCTGCTTGCGATTGAATTTCTTCTTCTCCTCCACAAATCGCAAGAGCTCCGTCTTCAGTTCCTCCAGGGGGCAGGCAAACTATGTGAGGTTTGGAATCTTGCCTCAGGGGAAACCAACCGCGCCGATGTATGTTTCCAAATCCGCAGCTGTGATAAGAAGCTTCAGATCACGCAATGCTACTATTCGTTTTCGGGTTGAGCTGTGATAATGACGAGGTCGATCCGTGAGGCAATCAACAATTAGTCGTGAGGATGTGCCACACCTCGAGAGAAATGCTAGAACTGGAGGTCTTCACGGTACTTTGCAAAAGCCAATCGCCTCGAAAATTTACGTTGAAGTCTCCAACAAAGTTTGCATATATTCAGATATCCCTAGCAGCCAACTCCCACCTCATCTTACCCTCGACGTTGTTGTTCTTCTCAAAATCATGCGTGTAGATCGAAATATCACTGTCGTTCTTCCCCTCCACCCTCAAAGCCACGGCTAGCACTGCAAAGAAACTCGGCAGCAACTCCCTAGTATCCCGATCAATATCAGCTCGATATACATCGCCACGACCCTGAGCGCAAAGCCGTTGACGAACACCCACGACAAAGGCTTTACGCTCAGTGCCCTCGGCCAGTATTGCTCGTCTCTTCTCCTGACTCTGCGCAGCCCATTCACTAGCGATGCTGATATGTGCGTTTGTGTGAATGGATGATGGCGGTTTACCTGCAAGCGTGGGCTCTGGCAGACCTGTGCCTGAGTTCTCAAAGCGGTTGCGGACGCCAAAGACCTCTATGAGATGCTTTGTGCGAGCTTTTCGGGTCGCATCGATTCTCTCTTGCGTTACTTCCTGTATGTCCGTGATGTCACAGAATTTGTGACTGCACCCTCCAGCCCCGCAGTGTAGCACTGAGGCGCCGAATGGATTCTCAAAGGGAACCATAGTGTCGTGTATTGCTGCTGCGTCGGCATTGATAAGCTCCGATTTCTGTGTCGCAAAAATGGAAAGCAGGATTTCCCGAGATTCAGCCTCTGGAACTGAGAGGATTGGGTCGAGGATCGCGCTGGCGAGTTGTTCAGTCTGGGAGATCTGGGTGAAGAAAGTCTGAGCTGTGCAATGGCCGCGTTGTTTGAAGATGAGCCAGAAGAGGATGACTTGTATTTTACGCATAACCTCTCCTTGCTTGGTATGCGTAAGTCCAGCATCTGCGCGACCAAGATACGAAGAGAATCGAGAAAAGAACACCTCCGTGTCCGTGAGTAGAGTATTCGAACCTTGATACTTTGGCACCAACGGGCCGTTGAAGTCGTTGTACATGAACTCAAGGTACTTTTGTTTCCAACTTCCCTTGAAGTCGTCCGTATCGACTGTTGGGTTCTGGAGCGCAACTTGCAAATCTGCAAGGTACTTCGCAGCGACTGAGTAAACGGCCTTGGCTGATCTTAAACGGCTCAGCACATCGTCTGGAAATGCGCCAGTCCTCTTTCCAAGAGATAGCAGCCTGTCGAATCCCGCCACAGGGTACGTGACAGCAAAACTTGCCAGCCCTTTCTTCTCGAAATCAGTGGCGGCCCATAGCAGCGCTTGTGGATATTTCACCCAGTTGCCCGTTTCGCTGAAGGTTTCGCGGGTGCGAGTATTCTGAATGAGCTGTTCCAAGAACCACGAAAACATATCACGTCTCTGCGCGGCTTCGTGTTGCTCGTCAGTAGAAGACGTCGATTGCTCGAGTCCTGCCCCGGCCCAAGGCTTCGTTGTTAGAATCTCTTCGAGAATGGACATGACGAGTTGAGCAATGCCTGCTGCTCCAGTTGCAAGTCGTGCAGTTAAGGCTAAATATAGCTGATCGTTGATATACTTCTTATTGTCTCCTTTGTACTGCACAGTCGGAATGACAGCCGCCAATGGCTCTTTGTAAATGGACATGCCTGAAGGTCCAAGCAGCGCACACTGGAAGCAGATGTTCTGACTGGAGACGAGACCGACATTTTTGGCAGAAGCACCTGCAGCCAGTGGGAAGTTCAGAGCAAAGTCCGTGGTGTTGTCTTCTGCTTTGTCTGGATCTGCTTTCTTGAAGGAGATAGACATGACCTCTTCATCACCACAGCAAACAAGGCAGAAGCCTTTGTAGGATGGAGCCTCGAAATCCAGCTTAGTTATCTCAATGGCAGCGTCCGCGCTTACGACTTCCGCACGCTTAGCTCTGTTGCTCTTGCGGGAGAGAATATCCGCGCTGAAAGTTGCCGCCTCAACTGAGGCTAGATTTCTCAGTGCTACGTCTACAAGTAGGTTGCGCTTCTTCAATTTCTGCGCTGTCGGGGAGCTTGCAAACTCAGCAATTGTCTCCTGATAATGCTTGCGATTTGCTGCATGAGCTTCCCTCAACTGTGATTGAAGTGCTCTTCGCTCTTCCTCGGTGATCGTTTCTTGTCCCATACTTGCAATGATTGTTGCCGCTCCCGAAACGTCTTCCAGTTGAGGGCTAGCTTGCTCAACTTTCTGACTCAGGATCAAGGACCGCAGCTCGGGAATCTGTCGGCGTGTCTTGCAAGCGACAGCAAGGGTGTTGAATGCCTCATCTTCCAAAATATCCATCACGTCCTGGTCAGATAGGAAGCCAGCTTTGAGGAGGAGTTCCAGATCGATCAGCGCAGCACCGCCCTGTCGCTTCTCCCACTCCGCACCAAGACTGATGCCCTTGGCTTTCTCCTTTCTTGATTCAGCTTTGGTAACCTGAATATCAAGCTGCTTGCAATGCGCAAAGAGTTCGGCCTCATCCTGGAAGACAGGCATATTTTTCCAACTATCCAGATTCTGTACTCCAGCGGAAAGCGGTGTAAAACAACCCTTACCAGCGATAACGTACATCTTACCAGTGTTTGTCTCTTTGAAAAGAATCAGAGTGTCCTGGGAGCTAGCAAAGAACGATATTCCTACTGAGATATCTGTTTGGCTGGGCGGGAGGCCACAATGGCTAACGATGAGGAAGACGAGAGGAACGCCAAGGATGCCAAATTCATCAGCCTGTTCAGCTAGTCGATTCACTTCTCCATCGTAGACTTCTCCATCTGTCAAGAGATACCAGACATCCGAACTCTTGATGGCGTCAAGTGCTGTGGGGTTCTGTAGAATTTCGGATGGGGTTGTGCCGCCATGGTTGGATTTCCATTCGATTGTGTGGATCAAGTCTGTAGGATTATCGCAGTCGAAGCCCCAGAGAGAAGTAACATCTGCTGGATTGGCATAGTTGTTGTGGAAAGCGTAGACAAAATCACGCTCTCGTTTCAAAACGGCGCCCCCAGTTGACCCCGAATCGTCGACTGCGAAGAACTTGCGGCCGTTCAGGAAAGGCGTAAGCTCCACCGTCTCGGCCTCAGACGTATCTGCAAGAAACTTCCAGCTGCTCATCGTGCAAAGAGTTCTGAATGAATGTCAGTATATAAGTTTTGAGTCTTGAGGGTACACTAACTATATGTCGAGTCTGATCCAACTCGGCGTGTTGCTATCAAATGTCTCGAAGTATTTTCTCAATGGCCAGCATACAAATGATGCTGTTGCTGGGCAAGAGTCGGTTATCAAAACTACATAAAAAGAAGGCATGCCTTCAGTTATAGCATTCCAAACTTCTGACTCTTCTCTTCAGGCCCCCATCTAGGCCACAGCCTCAGTCACGCGCTTGCCTCTTATGGCTTGGGAACCCCATAGCCTGCAGCAAAACCCTCGAAAATGACTCAAAAACGATAGATGTCTGACTCCGGTGAGCAAATCTCTCCACGATTGGATCGATGTAGGGATGTGAAGGGCTGAAGGGCGTTGAGATGGGAGGCTTCGTCTGCTGAGAAACGAGCTACGCCAGAATCGGTTAGAGTTGATATCGCACTACTAACTTCCACCAAGCTTGGTTTATCTCTACTACACATTAATCAATTCGATAATCCTTTCGTCGTCAGTTATTCTTCGAATTCATGGGCGCTCGCTACCTGGAGATTTTATTCGAAATTGCCGTACTGTCTCTACTTCTCTCTTCTTTGCCATAGGTGCTGTGTTGGTAGCCATTATAGAAGAACAAGTAGAAGTACGGCGAAGGCATCTCCAACAGTTCGTGTTCGGTGTTACATAAAGATAGCGTTCATTACTTCGTACAGTCATATGTTCCTCTTCTCACCGCGTATTTCACCGCCACCAAAACCTTTTCGTTCCCTTACTGCCTCGCCCGATACTCAAATCTCATGACCACAGCTCGCATCATGAAAATCACCCTCGAAATTCGTCCATTGTATATCCCGTCCAGTAAGACCTCTCGGCGTGATCATAGTAGCATTGACGGGGCTCTGGGGAATCAACTTCGTGCCATTGACAGCGAGGATGGAAAGCACGTGTGCAGCGGCCTATCTCAGGGTCAGTACATTGAATACATCCTCCACGTGAAGCCGACTGCTTACCTTCGAAATCACGGTCAGCGTATTCGGGTTAGGATTCTCAATCGTGTCGCAAGCCTGGTGGTAGCAAGCGTCCTGGTCGGGTCGTGTGCCAGTGTTCATGCCTCCGACTGGCTTTCCAATATTCATAAATGATTGGTAGTCAGAACCGCCAGTAAACTGTGCTACGCTAACGTTAATGCCTTTCTGCACCAAGTCGTCGATGAACAGCTTTTCGATTGTACCGGAACCCGGTGGGCCAGTGAGGTTGAACGTGCTGCCATCGCCGTCGAAGACGTTGAATGTTCCGCGGGAAACCATGTCGAAATTGAGATAGGTTAGGATGCTGTCTGCTTCTTTTTTGCTCAGATTCTGCGTATAGTACTTTGATCCGACCAGACCTGAGTACGTTAGTAAAAAGATGATACTTCACAGCTTATAGGCACTACTCGCCATTCTCTTCCGCGCCCCACCACGCAAAGCGAACCTTATTCTTGACCTTGTACTTCTCAAGCCCGGCTTTGACTTCCAGGAGGAGCGTGGTGCCAGAACCGTCGTCGTTGATCCCAGGCCCGGCTTGGACTAGTCATACCGGGTTAGCGTCTCATACTAGCGCTAAATCACGACGAGAGAGACTTACCACTGTCGAGATGCGCGCCCAACATGATAACGTTCTTGGGATCGCCTTCCCTCGTCTCCGTGAAGACGTTTTGCGTGGTCCTGTTTTCAAGAACCTGCGTCTGCTGGAAGTGAGCCTGAATATCCTCACCAGCAGAGAGCCGTGCAGCGAGCGCGACGCCATCAGCCTGGTTGATGAAGCTTGCCGGGACAAAGCCCTGTGGATCGGGAGCCGAAAGAGTACCGCCAGTCACTTTGGTCTCGACATTGTTGTAGACAACGACAGCCGCTGCTCCGGCCGCCGCAGCAGGCCTCACGCGGCCAGCAAGCGTACCCCCGGTAGGACATGTTCCTCGTTCCACCAGGACAATCTTTCCATCTACACCAAGCCCGCTGTATGATGCGCTGCTGCAGGCCGCCGTACCAGAAGGACCGAGGACAAGCGATGCAGTTACACCTTCTGCGGTCGTCGAGGGCGAGTATGTAAGCCCGATGACATAGTACGATGTGTTTCCGACGCTGAAGTCGATGGACCTGACTTCCTGGAATAGCGCTGTAAAGTCCTGTGTCCAGGTGCGGAAGTATTTTGATTTCTGGGTCTTGGATAGGACGAAATCGACGGATGCTGCGTATCCGGGGAGGCCAAATGCGCGGTTGCCTCCATTGGCTTTTGCAATTTTATCGAGTTCGACGAGGTTGGCCATTAATCTTGGACAGAGTCAGTATTGTTTCACTTGGGCGTGAATTGCGCCGTACTTGTCTGTCTTGATCTCATTCTGCAGCGCTTTCGACGACACCAACGGCCGGGACCTCTCTTCAAGCTGCGAATTTCCAGGAGATGCAAGCGCCTGCACGGCGAGCGTCAGAGCCAAAGAAGCTTGAACCTTCATCTTGAGATCTCGACACTTGAAATTGAAGCCGTTCGAAAAGACCGGCTAGAGGACAATCACATCATATTATAGCGTTTCGCCCAGCCATCTCATTCCCTGGCGACTTGGATTACTCCCACGCACGACATTCTCTGGCCCACTCTTTTTGAGGCACGCGTTCCAGAAAAGAAGGTCACAAGAAAACCGATCGTCGGCGCCAAGACCGAAGCACTTTCTGGGGATTGACACCTTCCGGATAGGAGCTAGTCATGCTTAGCATGGGCGGCCGCCACTTCTTTACTCCTCCAGCTCGAAGACGACGAAAAGCTTTTATGTCGTACGCACAAACGATGCCAGATCGATAACGTTGCGAGGTACAACGAGAACGTGCTGACATCGGTGGCGTCCGTGGTCTGCCTGTCCCTCTCGAAGATCTGGAACTAACATACAGCGCAATCTCGCAACAGCTCGACAACTACATGCAAAATTTGAATGGAACTTGCGCGCCTCGAGTTTTACTGGTATACGCCCTGCTTACCTTTCTCGTAGCATTCGGTCTTCTACATTGTCGCGTAGAAACGAACGTACCTCAGTGCCGGGTACATGCATGCCCCCCAGGCCTTCTATTCTCGTCCCTCCCGAACCACAACTCTCCATCGGCAGACAATATGTGCATTTTAACTGAACGTTGAATATCTCGAATAATATTTTCCCCTCTTTGATTTCTACCAGCAGGGCAAATACCGACAAAGTGGCGTGGCTTTGAAGATCTCTCCAACTGGGGGCATGGAGCATACGCGGATGATTTTAACCTCAGTTGATTGCTAAGAAAGAAACATGTATCTCGATAACGTGATCCGCGCGAGGATCGTGAAAAGGCGGATCCTAAGACCTCGGGAGAAGAAGACGTATCTATCCCCAGGCGCTCTGCAGTCCCCGTCCAAGTTCTCGTATAAATCCCACCCTGTGAGCGTACTTTTCAATTTTCATCTGCTGTGCACAGCCAGCCCATGTACTCTTCTTAGATCTTTTTCGATATACTTCAAGTCAGGGCCTTGACACATGTCTCCACCGCCCAGTATTTTCAAGTTCACAAAAGACCCACGTTCCATGTTACAAATGTTCTATTCTTTTCTTTTCTTTCTTTCTTTCTTTCTTCTCTCCCAAACTCAACACACACGAGCATGAAGACACCAAACATCCACTTTTGCGTACAGCCGCGTTTCGGAATCTCGACATGCCAAACACACCCACACTCGTCTATCCATGATTTGCCTTGGAAGCATTTTATTTTGAGCAGAAGAGAATCCCCACATCAGCGATATCATCTGCGAGTTTATCCGCATTGTCGTCAGGAAAAGATAAAGAGCTGAGTTGAGTAGAAAGAGAAAGATAGGGTGAGCGGAGAGGCGGGAGATGTACATTTCCCAACCTTAAATTTCGCAGCGCAGCAACATATGTGTACGCGTTCCAAACAGCCACACACACATAAACGCAGAGATGGTGTGATTTTTGAGCGGACGAACCATGAGAGTATGCATCGCGCACTTTCAGGCCTTGTTTTCTGTATTGGAGTTTTCGACATGAGTAATTTGGTGGCAGATATATCCAGACACAGACGGAGAAACAGACATGTGTCAGAGCTCGATCAATTTCTGTCTAATCGAGAAAAAGGTGATACATAGATGGATGGGTGGGAAGTCTAGATGCGACATTGACTTTCAAATTCATTTCCAGACTTGGATCAGGCTGAGAGCCGGGAGAACATCCTGTGTCAACATCTGGGTTTCGGACAGACCAACCACATCACAATATTGATTGTGGCATTTGAAAGTGATAAGATGAGGTTTTTGAGAGACATGAAGAGGGGTACCCACGAATTCCACTTTATAAACAAGACAAAACAGACAGGACAGGAAACCCATGAGCGACTTTCTGTTTGTTTTGAGCAAAAGTGTCTACATTTTTAGAGTAGATAGAAGCCAGACATGTAGGTCTCTCTCATTAGCTTGAGAATTAGGTTCTTTTAGATTAAGGCAGAGGCATGAATCCGTCTATGGCCTTTTTTAGGCGCCTGCTTTCGCGCGTACAAAGAAACGCATAGAGGAGAATATAAGCAGACAAAACCAACCACATCGCAGTATCTGTTGTGACTTTTGAAAGTAATAAGATGAAGTGAGATTGTTGAGAGACATGAAGAGGGGTACCCACAAATTTTGCTCTACAAGCAAGTTGAGCAAAGCAGGGCAGGCAGACACATCAAATGAAGGAGCTTGTTTTTGAGAAGAAGAACCAAGGTTTTCGGATAGCATATAAGCGCAACATAAACCCAAGTGTTGGTGGTTTTGGGATAAAGTTGTGTTAGGTTGAGAGAGGGAAGAAAGAAGAACGGCCATGGTGTTTTTTAGAAGTATGTTTTTATAGGTCCAGAGGAACACATAGATTATTTTGGCACGTATTTGGGAAAGTCCAGGCGAGACATCGAGCCTCACAGTCATTATTTGAGAGAGTATGAGGAAGAGTATGAGCGGACAAGGTCCATCTCATCACAGTATTGATTCCCACTTTTGAAAGTAATGAGATGTGTTTGTGGAAAGACACGACATGAAAGAAGTGGACCTCAAGATTTTGGGCTATCGCAGACAAGACTGGCAAGAGCGGCAGGACAGGCGGACATTAGACGCTTTGAGAATGGTTTTGGAAGGAAAGCTTGTAGTTTCTGGGGTAGATGAAAGCTGGACATGAATTTCCATATGATGAGCTTTTGGGGAGTTTGCTTTTACAGGTCCAGAGAAACGCATACGTTGTTCTGACACGTATTTGAGAAAGTCCGGGTGAGACATCGGCCTCTCTGAACCTAGTTTTAGGAGAGAATGAAGGACCTACAACATGATGGTGCCACGTGTAGTATTTGGAGGTAACAGGACATGGTGTAGACAGGTTTATCTGCAGGTTTTGAGGATGCTGCAGACAGTACAGGACAGGCACACATGAGCAATCGCGTGGGCAGTTTTCGTAGACAGAAATTATAGTTCTTTTTTGGAGTAGATAGAAGCCGGACATATACTCTTGTGCAGTGCGTTCTAAAAAGGCGTTATTTAATGTTTAAAAGGAAGGAAGGAAAGAAGGCCATCTGTTTGGTCAATCGAGGGTTTTTATAAGTCCAAGAGGGAAGAGAGGGAAGAGAGCAAGTCCATGCCTTTTCCCTGTATGAATATTTTCTACGGCTCCAGAGGAACACATATTTTGTTGGGGCACGAGTTTGGAGAGGCCAAACGAGCCATGCAGATCGTATATGTTGGTTTTGCAGAGGCCAGACAAACCATCCAACCCTCCCAAGGCATGTTCAAGCTCCGCCAGAGCCAACATCCAACTCTTGGGTGGCGGTTTTTGAGCGAGTCCAAAAAGGCGACACATACTTCTGATGTATCAAGCTTTCGATAAGAGGCCAGGCAGCACATTGTTTCTTTCTGTCCTGGTTTTCGAGAGTATTCAGACGAGCCATGAAGATTGTACAAGTCTTGTTTTGCAGGGCCAGGCGAGACATCCAATTATCCCATGGCGTGGTTAAGAGAGTCCGAACAAACCATCCAATTCTCCCACGGCTTATTCAAGCCCCACCCACCGGACAAAACATCCAACTGTCAGATACGAGTTTTCGAGCGAGTCCAGCACCCACCCTATCCCAGGTAAGCATCACATTTTGAGAACACCCACCGTCAGGCCACATTCATCTCTTCTTCTCCTTTCTTTCGCGATTTCCATAGTCCACAACCCGGACGAGAATACTGGCAGATCGTAGTGCTTCTTTCATACCGGAGGAAGGCGCGGAGACATATCATGCGTGTTGAAGTGGTTCTTTTATACCGGGAGGACGCGCAGAGACATGATAGGCACTTCGCAACGTTTGTGTCTTAGATGTTGGAGAGGACACATGTTTCTGCCTTTCCATGTTTTTGGACGCTGGAGGCAGGAAGGCGGACACATATCGTAGTGATGTTTTGTTTTTGAGCCGGATGAAGAGGGAGCGGAGACACGAACATAAAAATGTTTTATCTTGTATGTTGGATGTTAGAGAGGAGACATATTATGCCAGTCTCCGAACTTTTGAGTAGGGTGGGGATTGATTTTCGGAAGAGAGACATGTCATGTTTTCTGCTGGTTTTTTTTGG